TTTCTCGTGATACATACGTTTTCGATCAAATCCTGGCGCGATTCATCCAAAATATGATACGCACAAGCGCGGTCTGCGCTTCTATTTTATTGGTTATCGGGTTCAGCTTCCCGCCCTTCTTGATCGACGTCCTCTGGCACGGTTCTACTACAAGATCACCGTGTATGAATGGCTTTGTTCTTCTTCCAGAATCATCCTAACGTCATCAATAGGTACCATCTCGTGACGTCACGTGAACTCAAGCATCTAGATGCGGCGTCCCGCTCACCCCATCTTTGTGTAGTTCTCGGAATCCTGGACTTTTCGCTATCCGGGCTTATGACCAACAAGCCGGTTTCATTGCGAACAATGCGGCGAGCATTGTTCGCAACCAGTTGTGCTACCTTCCTAGTACTTCCATCAACCGATGGCTTGCAGTAAGATTGGAGTTTGTTGGAGCAGTGATTATCCTCGTCACGGCTGTTTTGGCCGTCTCTGCCGTGGTGACCAGCGACGTTTATGCTGGGTTGATCAGTCTAGTTCTGTCATACGCTTTGAACGCAACAGGTTCACTGGTGAGTGGCTTTCTCTTCGTCCCGAGGCATTGGTAACCGAGCGGCCGCAGAACTGGTTCGTCCGCTCCGCAAGTGAAGTAGAACAGAATGTCGTTAGCGTCGAGCGTATCTTCCATTACGCGAAAGACCTTGAGCCAGAAGCTCCTTATGAGATCCCTGAGAATAAGCCCACCTCTGGGTGGCCTACAGCTGGGGAAGTTGAATTCCGGCGAGTCCATGTCGCTGTACGCACGAAATTGTATTGAAATTGTCCGATATAGGGAATATTCAGCACGGTATCGGCCCGGGCTTGATCTAGTCCTCAAGGATATTTCCATGACCGTAGTCAGTTATTTCGCCGGGTTTCTCACATATGTATGCCAACTCGAGATGCTCCAGAAACCGAAAGAGAACGTTGGAATATGTGGCCGGACTGGGGCAGGGTAGGACATTTTGCTGGACTGTGACGATGCTTTTACAGCTTCTTCTTACCCTCTTCCGGATCATTGAGCCTGCATCTGGAGCTATTTTCATTGACGACGCAGACATTACCAAACTTGGCCTGCATGACTGTGCATCCTTTTTGAGTTGTCCATTTGGGGACTTGGACACCCCTTGATCTTGATCAAATCAACATAGTGCGGTCCGCGATATCCATCGTTCCTCAAAACCCAGATTCATTCGAGGGCACGTTGCGAGAGAACGTTGACCCTGTTGGCGAGCACCGGGATGTTGATATACGGACTGCTCTGGAGCACGTCCGTCTTTGAAATACGTTTGCGCTTCTGATGCTTACTAACGACACTTCTACAGGCCCATCTGAAGGCATACGTCGAATCACCTCCTGGGGCACTAGATGCTCCAGTCCAGGAGGTCGGATCGTCGCTTTCAGCAGGTCAGAGACAGCTCTTGCGTTTTGCGAGGGCGCTCTTGCGCAAGGTACGAGTGTCTCTTTTGGTTGATTATGAATTTTCATCACCGACGCTCCCTAGACTAAAATGCTCGTCCTCGATGAAGGTCTGTATGAGCGGTATCTTGTTCTTCTGCAAGGTTAATGTGCATGATTCTCTAGCAACATCTGCAGTCGATCTAGATACCGACCGAGCGATTCAAGAAACTATTCGAGGTCCAATCTTCCGCGATGTGACCATTCTAACCATCGCGTATGTGACACGTCCGACATCATCGACGATTAGTGCCAATAATGATCGTATAGGCATCGCCTGAACACGATCATGGAGTCTGATGGGATTCTGGTTCTAGATGCTGGAAGGGTAAGCACGCTCCAACGACGTTCATCCACAATTTATCTTTGATTGGCGAATTTTGATTGCAGAATTTGATAATTCAAAGAAGCGGCTGGAGAACAAGAGTTCTATTTTCCGTTCTATGGCGATGGAGGCTGGTCTAGTTCACGTCCAGCTTGATGATGCAGGAGAGAACGCGCGGGTGTGGAATATACCTATCATGCACAACATTTCTTGGGTTTGTTCAGAAATACAACATCATAGCCATGTAGACATTGCCACGTTCTTGCTCTGAATCTTATCTTTCGCTTGTCAGCTATTCAATCGTGATACTCGATAATGCAGTCGGGGTGCCCCGATACTCGCCTTGCGATTAGTACCGCAGAAGCATTGGATGAAACTAGGGCGTCTTTGCTACTACCCAATGCCTCGGAAGAAATGGAAGAGGTTGAAGGTGAAAAAGTTATTTCAGACGAATTTCCGTTCTCAATTGAAATTACTACCAGTAGGACTCCTCTCCAATAAATCACCCTGCCGAAAAATCTCAGGATCGTGCACTCAACAATTCAAGACTTGGGTTCGTACCAGTCCAAGATAATGTTACATGAAGAGATGTGCCAACACGTCTTCGAGGATCGAGCTCATGTCTCTGTTCCACGGGGAGTGACGGAATTTCTGAGAGCGCGGCATCAACTAGCCCATCGCCTTCAGCGAGTATCCCCATTCCAGCTGGAGTGTTGATCGCCATCAAATTTCCTGGGGTGGAGGTGATGCTAAAGCGATAAATTAGTCACGTGGAAATCATCGACGTTGCATTCTGACCAATCAAGTAACAAGCCGTCCGCAGACTCACGGAACTCGGGCGTCCTAATCGCCCACATCGTCTGCGTCAGTAGAATAGTGACCTGTCCTCGAAGGACACGATCGTCAGGGGCGCTTTCCAAAGCAGCTTGGAGCGTCACCATAGTGGCCTGAAGATCCCCCATCTTGAATGGCGCTAACTCTGGCCCGTATTGAGATCGCAAGCGTAGAAACTGTGATTCATGCCCCTGCATCTTCAGGAAGTAGACCTAGAACGTTTTCGAAAGATGTCAGCAATCCTTCGTAGCCCTGCAGTCTAAGACAAAGCCGTGCGACATTGGTGCGTGCGATGACGAATTGGCATTCGACTATGGGGTCCTCTTTCTCTTCGTACGCTGTTTCTAGGAGAGTAATTGCACAATTTATGTATTCTACATCCTGTTCAAGCTTTCCAAGGCGTTCGCAAATCAGACCGAAGGTATGGAGGCCCCAGCCATCAGCCGAGAAGAGCTGGGAATGGCGTCCGAGGATGAAGAAGGCAGGTAAAAGGATATCTGTAGTGGGTGCACGGACTGTATTTGAATCATTTACAGTGACAAGAACGCGCGAGGCAAATTGCAGGTCTGCCATAGGCTTGAACCGCACGTTATACAGATATAGGGCAGCTGGCTTGTATTTACCACGTCTGCTGTCATGCTGACTGCATGCTCAAGTAATGTGCCTCGCTTCATGGCGGTTTGCTATTGCAGTCAATGTCTGGCCGATCCAAGCCAAAGTACGATTCGGATCAAGAGGTTGCGCCTTTGTAAATGCTTGGGTGGCCCACCTAGTCAATGTCGTTATGATACAAGTATAGAAGACTGATCTTGGTTCACGCCACCATCAGTGAACCGGTGAAGAGATGAGATTGATATATAAGGCAATATATTGTCGAACTTCACAACAATCTGTGTAATTCTGCTGACTGCGTTCACATGGGAATGTATGGTAATGTCAAGGAAAGATCAATTTTGCTTCTTACAATTCTTCAATTGGATGGATCAAAGAAAAAATTCATGAGCACAAATTCATGAAGTTAAATATGGATCCAGCCTGAGAGGGATCATGAAGGAGGTTGCAATGTGGGGGAGTCAAAGACACTTCAGTGATGACACTTGTAGTGCCGATGTGTATCATTTGGGCTTCGTGAATATATTTTTGCTAGCTGAGGATGACTATCACATGCATGTTGTTTGCTCTAGGATAAAAAGTACAAGTCTGTGTTGCAAGAAAAAGCTGACACCAGAGTTGCATATATAACATTTTTATCTATTGACCGTCACACAGAACAATTCATTACATGGAGCGCAAAAACTGTTCCAATATATGTCAGATTGCATATGACATCTCAATGGACGTCATTACTAGTCTGCCACTAACTTGGCGGTAGCGACAATGCTCACAAATATTTCGAAACTTGGTATGGCACTGTAAGTATACACTGTAGCGAGCTAAATGACAATGTCTCCCAATCTTTGGCATCTACGTCAAATTCTTCCGAAAATAACTAAGAGTAGCATTTCCCACACTGGTACTTAAATTGGCATCTGAGGTTGAGAATATGACCATCCACCATGCTGATGCCTACTTTTGCTCAATTGCTAAGGGACCACCATGACCTGTTCACTTACAAATTTTGGTCATACACATGGAAATTTATTGAAGAAGTTTATTAGGTAACCGAGGAGCAGCGCCGGAAGACTCGTTTGACATAACAAGTCGTCGAAAAAATAAACAAAATTTCCAGAACCATCGTTGCCTGTTCCCTTACAATTTCTGATCACGCAGATAGAAAATTATTGAGGAGATCTATTGGGGGATCGAGGAGCAGTGCCGGATGGTTCGTTTGACATAACAGGTTGTCAAAAAATTAAACAAAGTTTCCAGGACCATTTGTCGCATGTTCACTCCCAAATTTTGATCACACAGATAGAAAATCATCAAGGAGATCTATTGGGGGAGGAGCAGTGCCGGGAGGCTCGTTTCACATAACAAGTCATCAAAAATAAGTAAAGTTTCCAGGACCATCGTTATCTGTTCACTTCCGAATTTTAATCATGCAAATAGAAAATTATCGGAGAAGTCTATAACAGAATTGAGGAGCACGACCGGAAAGTTTTTGAAAACCATCAGTTGTCCCACAAATAATTGGATCTTCCCAAGTCGTCTAACAGTTGTGCTTCGTCACATAAATTCAATAAGTGATAGATCACCACACATTAATACACTGTATATCAGAAAAGATGCATATTATATTCATCCTAGGTGCAGGGGACATTAACATTAACTAGTATATATCTAAGTGCAGCGGAGTAAAGAGAATAGTGATCGATGAAAAGATATAGCAGCGTGGAGTCGAGTAAGCAATCATGTCAAGTAACTAGTTGGTGAAGTATGCGGCATCCTCCATCTGCTGTCTCTGAGCAGCGAGAACATTGACAGACATTTGGATAGTAACATCCGCCATCAAATCCTGTCAATGGTTTGTTCCGAAAACTCTGCTACACAGGAAATTAGCAATCCGCATGAGTCACTGGTAGATGACTTACTAACTGTGTCCACCACTCAAGAAGTTCCTTGACCCTGAGTCGCGCAGCTGGGCCCGGTGAATCCTCAAAGAAGTCGACAACATTGTTCCAGCAGGTGTTATAGTCAAAATCTCCATCTACAGCGCGCCAAGAGGTGATGCTGGAAAGTGTGAATCGGATCTGCCAAATTGAATTTCAGTTTTTCAGTCGAGACAAAGTATTCAGACTTACTTGGCAAGCTGCATATGCGATCGCGCGAGGAGTCACCTTCCTCATACCTATTATGGAGGCGACACAAGTCTTCACTTTGGATTGATCCAATCTTCTCCGGGCACGTCTATCGTTCTCAATAATATCAGCAGCATCACCATCACCATCTACTTCATTGGCAGAGGAGGGAGAGGTAAAAATAGCTTTGAATCCCTGTAATGCAATGAACCATGACTCTATCAGAAATTCAGGCCACTCACCATAACTAACAGCTTTGACTTAAATAGACCGCGCTCCAGATTTGTGGCATCCACTTTAGAATTTTCATACATAAACGATGGCCAAGAATTTTCAGAAACGATGAAGGCAGTTGTGCGATCACAAATCCCAGCCCTGACACTGGACGACACCTCAGTCAACATCTGAGGACCAAGGACTGTCACTTACACTGGGTCCTCCCAGCGCCATTCCACTGGGCAAAGTAATTTACCGCATGCATCGCTTACAAAACCTTGACCATGCTTATTGTTTGGCCTGATGAGCAAAGACGGATGACATTCAGTATTGACCCAGGAGCCCACAAGCTCCTTGAGAGTTGCTGTATCATCACCACGAGCTGAGTCTGCGCCTCGCCTGAGCTACATCGGAAATGAGACAGAAATTTGACAGAAATGACGGGGCAGACCTTTCTAAGCATGTCCTCTGACTCTTTGAGGTCAAGACTTGCCAGCCTATCATGAAACCATGGCAGCACCTTGACGAGTTCGATATAGCCATGTTGAAGGTGATCCTGTCTATTCATCTGTTTAAACAAGCATGACAATATAAACTTAAATACTTACTCAAGAGTGCTAGAGTCGTCTCCATTCTCACAACACCAATCATTTTCGGCAACAATATCCTCTATAGGAATGAAAAGAACAACCAATCGACAAATTGCTCGTCCCTGCGAGACATAATAAGTGGTTTTCCTATAATGAGGTATGAAAACTGCTGTCAAGAGGTCAACAACGTGCACACCTTTGCTTGGTTGCTTTGTCCTGCTTCAAGATTTCGACCTCCTCCATGAGTGCGGCAATTCTTCGTTTCGCCCTAGCTTGAGGAGATGTATTGACAGAGAGTGATATGTGAGGAGCGGGAGGGCCACCCTCCTGGTCGTTCTCAGGTGTTGACATCTTGAAGATAAGGTAGAAAGAACTGCAGAGAATATGAGGAGGCGTGAAAGGGATGTGGACCCAAGGTGAAAGATCCAGCGAGATCATCTTATATACTCTCCATCTACGGCAGAATTAATTAGTCTCCAATAAGAAACAATGAATCTGCCATACTTGGTAACCTTTGGTAGCCTAAAATCAGGAAATCGTCTCGAACCTATTTTGGTGATCCACTTACAACCAAAAGTTCTAGTCCAAACATTTCTCCTTTGGGTTAGTTTAAGGAACGGTGAAAATTAGAAGACGTACTAAGTCGTGAAGTGTGGAAGCTTTGGTACTCGTAACTTAGGCGGGCCCGTGAGGCTGCGGCTGTCACAGGCTGCCAGTGAATCAAGCGATCGAACATCGAGTCACTGCTTCAAATCTCTTCACCGGTTCACTGATGTACTAGTAGTAGCTGCAGTAGTCAGACTTGGAGAAGTTCAGACTTGTTGATGAGTCCGAGTCAGCACCTTTTGAACAACTGGTGTCATGGTGTCATGGACTCACGGTTGTCCCGTATTGCTTGCTCGGTACCTCTCGGTACCATGCTCACTAGTACTAGCGGCATCAAACAATGGAAAGTGTCGCTATGGTGCGCTGCCCCGAGTCAGTCAGAGACTCACTGGCTGTGTGAGGCACTCAATGGCAGGCTTGAGTGATTGGGACATGTATTACTTGACTAGTAGTAGGGCTGCCACGTGCGATCAACTCGGATGAAGTACATTATAGCTCACCCGCAATGATCATAGTGATGGAGCCAGCGGCCGCAACCTCAGACTATATAGAAACAAGTTGGGTGGTTGTCACTGTGTACGATCGTGATGAAAGATCAGTGTTATGGTGTCATTTCGGTCCGTCTCAGGCCGAGTGAGTTGTACATACTACATTGACTCGGACTCGGACATATAGGATGATACGATACATATCAAATAAACTCTCAGGCTGTAACTCAAAATGAGAGATCATGAGATTCATCAACTTCCTCCTCAAGGTCATCAAGCCCATCTTCGGACTCTTCCTCACCCTCAAACATTTCATCTTCTTCATCCTCTGAATCTTCTTTGCGAAAGTCGACGACTATCCGTTGTTTGTTGTCGTGGTCCTCGCCGCCTTCGTCGACATCCATAGCCTCCCCCGGTGCTGCTGGGTGGAGGCCAAAACAGTCTCTGACAATCTTCTGTAAAGCAACCAGGTGTCCTACACCCAGGTCAGTATAACGCAAAAACATATCTCGATTGACGAAACTAGTTCTGATAGGTGAGTCATTCAACCACAAAAAGACACATAAGACTCACATCCCGACATAATACACTTCCCAGTCGTCGAGTTCCCCTTTGGGATGTCCTAACGAATTTCCGTAGCGAAGTGAACTGGCATTGCACCCCGAAGCAAATGCTGGAATCAGATGCGCTCCCCGAATCACCTGTCCCGGATCAAGGAATCCGAATGCATCATAGTCCGACTCCTTGACAAACACCACTTTGGGAAGGCGAGCATGCTGCATACCAGACTGATGCGACATTAATGGTGCGAGCCATCTGACATAAAGGACCTCAAGGTGCTGTTTCTCGGTTTCATTACCCCCTTGGAGCCAGGTGTTGATGTGATAAATACCCATTACACGCGCATACCAGTAAGGGTGACTGGGAGTGCTTTCTCCAGAAAACACCATCACATTGGCATAGGTTTTAGGGTTGATGACGTAGTATTCACGCCTCATGTCATAAGTGGTGTAATGTATATGCATCATTTGAACCAAGTAGACCATACTGTTGGGGATGATGACCGCATTGCATTCCTCAGCCATGAACGTATGGTCACAATGATCTATGTCCAGCTTTTTCAGCCTATACAGTATATGATCTTTTAGTTTCGGGATGAAGTGCTGAAACTTGTCCTTAGCATTCAACTATGCCGAAAGTGCAATACCATTTTACCTTGATAGCCGGGTCGCCTTCATTCTCCTGGAGGAATGAGAACAATGGGATTGGATTGTTTCAGCTGCTTGCGATATAATGATGGTCCTCAGGCGAACACGGAGTAGGAGGGTCGGTGGGAGGATCGTTATTTGAGGAGATACTACCTGCTGCTTCCGCGACTCGCTGTAACACATGGTGCCTGCACTCGTGCTTTGCTAGCTGTGCTGGAGTGTCCAGCTTACTAGTTAGCGGATAGAACATTTTCAAGGCTCTGTGTGCCAGCTCTCCCTAGCCAATAACAAAATTTCAGAAAAATCCTCAAGGGCTAGGAAAGGGAGATGAAGCTCACAATCTGAGTGGTGAAACAATCCAAAGTCCTGAACAGCTTGATAGTTTGCACATAATCGCCCATCATGTCAAACTTGTAAGTGTTTAGATTCAACTTTTTTACCCTTGGTCCATTTGATTCTGGAGAAGTATCGGGTCCAGAACATTGCACGAGCCTCCATTGGCGAGCCACTTTCTCTTTTCCTAACTCCACCGTCTCAAAGGCAGTGCAGGTAAAGTTGCAGAACTTCCGCAGCTGCCTCGAGAGAACCTTGAACATTCTGTCGAGAAAATCTAAGGTTGACTCAGAATGTACTCTTAGCTTGGCGAGCACATGCCACTGCGCGAATCTGTATAACAGAGATTGCACGATCTTGTCATGATGAGGGGGAAACAACCCTTCAAACATGGGTATTGCACACAAGATAAAGGGTGTCAGGGAGCCACATAGATAATAGTGAATAAAGGGACGAAAAACCTGCAGGATGTCCTCAAAGTCCTGAGTGGCTAGTCTCTTCATCTCGGACGTATTGTTGGCAAAAGTTCGGATTACCCTGCTACTGAAGGTTGGAACCTGGCGAAATCTGGGTGCGATAGAATTCACTATTAATTATGTGGTGTGATATCATTCAAATCTTACTTGCCTGGAATCCAAGGTTGCAACTAATTGGTCCCCGCCTGGTAGTGCATAGAGAATCCTGACGAGGTGAGTAAACAGTGCCTTCCAAGTACCTAACTCGCACTCATGCATGAAGTCCATGATGAGCATACGAAATGGGTTAAGGCCAAGTCCTCCCAGTTTCTCGGCGAATTTATTCTGTGGGTCGCTCGTCTGAGCCAGTACGACACAGCGGCGAATAAATCACACTTACTAGCACAGGTACCCATGAGCCCTCTCCAAGCGCCTCTTGAACCTTCATACCATCCACAGTATTTCCAAACTTGTAAATATATTCTTGTCCCTTGATGATGTTGGCCTCAACATAGACCCGAAGATCAGTCATATGGGTCTTCATATCCTTGAGGAGGCCGAGAAAAGCAAACATGCTTTTTGGCGTGAGGAAATGAGGACAGGGGCAAGAGCCCATGTCTTTGATAGTGGCAATTAAAACCCTAATATTTGTTCAGTAACGCACCGATCTTTAAAGACAGGACGCACTTTTCAGGATAATCAGCTGAATATGTAAATATGCGAGGAAATATTCTGCAAAGCACCCCGTCGGCACATTTTAATACAATACCATGGCGGTATGCGTGCAGGAAATCTTGGTCTAACAAGATATCCCAGCATCCATGAAACAACTCATGCCGACAGTGGGTGCGAAGGGCAGCCATGCCGCTTTTTGATATGCGAGCCAAATTGCTTAGAACATCCTTGATCTTATCAGGCAACTGGCATGCAAAATATCAAAATAACGGTTAAAGGTGAAGTGGAGAAACTCACAAATGGTAAAAACCCCACAAGGTGACATGCACCGGACTTCGGTGCAGCATGAGCGTACTTTGTCAAATTACTGAAGTACAAATAGAGGGGCCAGGCTTTTGCCGTTCCAAAACTCGCAAGATGCGTGGCATCAGAAAAAACATGAGACCAGCGACGACGCGTTCTAGCATACATCCGGGCTCCCTCAGGAGCTTCTGCACCTCGTCTTGGGCATCCAGCCAAGAGTCAGACATGTACAATTCGTCAAATATCCGCTTTTGATGGTTGTCTAACGGATCCTTCCATAAACATTTGAAAGGTGTAAGATGGAATGCACTCGCTTGAATATCCTTGAAAGCTGACTGGATTACTTCGATGAGGGGGCAAAAGTGGAACCCAGAGACGGAAAAAAGTCTACCTTCGTCCTCTTTCGATTTCGAAGGAACCGTAATGGTGATGTTGGCCTGCTTCCAGTCATCTGGAAAATCGATTTTGCTTCTACCTAGGTCAGTGTCCATTTCCCATAAACTCTTCCTCACAAAGAAGTCCTCCAAGTGTTTAACGTTAAAATCCTCCGCTAGAATGACTTCCTTGACAAGACGGGAAATTTCAATCTTGGATTTCTGACTACTACCGGAATTCATCCAAGAGATGAGTCGATAAATTGACATGTTAGCAAAAGGATAGGGAGGTGGAAGGACGGTAGATGGTTCAGTATCTTGCGTGCCTGTTGGACTCGTACTTGATAGCAGCGAGGACGGAACAAATTTATCTGGCTTGAAAGATGGGTGACGAGGGTACAGTTGACAAAGTCCGATAGAATTGAAGTTGGTCTGAAGTGAATCTCGTAATTTGAGTATAACCCTTCACAATCTAGATTGAGGTTGGTCTGCGTTTCGAGCGGGTGAAGCAGCAATGCTATCCGAATAATTGGTGTCCTCGTCAGAAAGAGGAACATCATCAAAAGGTCTAGGAATTTGTCTCCGAGGGTGTGAAGGTTTTTCTGAAGAGTGAAGAACAGGACAGGTGACAGGTTGTCATGGTCAGCCAATTTGGGAGCCTAACCGTAGACTCAGACATACCCAAAGCATCGGTCTGCGACCTGTTGTCGACACTATCATGAGTATCAAACTGAAGCTGCTGCTCGGGGAGTTGCTGAAAATCCTCGAGACCTGCTGCACCGGGAGATATGCTAGCCCTGGTTGTGTAGTGGTTCCTGTCTAACGGTTTGCACAGGAAAATATGCCTGTGGCGTTTACTGTCTCCGTGCTGGATGGGTCGTATTTGCTAGAGGCACACAAATAGTTCAGCACTCATTGTATGAAAGGCTCGGACTGCTCACTGAAGAACTGGCTGAGCCTGCCAGTGTTTCGGACATCCATACCGATTTCCGCAGCAGGCGAGTCATCGGAGTTTGAGTTGCCTGTTTTGCTCTCTCTTGTCTTTTCTGACTGGCTAAGACTTTGGATTTGCGATAGAACCAACACGTTGCACGATGTCTACTAAGCCCTCAAGCATCGGCAGTTACTTTCTCCCAAGAGCAGCCTGGAGCATTGCAGGATGTGACCATCAGATAATGAATGAAGAATAGCAGCAGAATATGCCATAAAAGTTTTCTGTGCATTCCGAGGTGAGTCTCCACCAATGACTTCTCGCTCGGAGTAGTAGGGTAGAAAGTTTGTCTCTTTCGAAAGGGTAAGTCAACAGATCTCTCAACTCCAATTTATTTCAAAATGGTAGGATGGTCACAGTATTGTGAAAGAGATAAGAGATTAGTAACTATGACCAGATATGACATAAAGAATTCATACATTTTAGGAATTTGACGACCTGCCACACTCAGCAGTGTGCACAGCTGCTGTCAAGTTGCGTCACAACTTCAAGTCCATGCTTCCGTTCAAAACATAAATATAATGATATGGGCTAAGGTCAGTTCTAGTAGTGTAACTGCCGCGTGTCCTGTTAATATGACTATAGCCTGACTCGAGGGCCCAGAACTGTAGAAGGTTTATTATCATGAGCATGAGGCCAGTTTAGCAACGTCGTGGCCCACTCGAGACACAAAAGTAGCCACGGTGACGGTGCAATCATGATACCAAAACTAGGACTCGTCACTAATACTGATATTGGTGTCCTTTTCTTCGTGCGAGTGAGAAGTGCTGCCATCGGAGCCATTAAAACTCTGATAACTCACACACACTAATACTGTTGACTGCTGTGAGTCTTAACAGAACTGAACACAAAGGACACTCAGGCCAGCATGCTATCATCATCCCCTGTTCTTTCCGCTTATTACATTGCCAATAACCTTGGTCCTGACTCAGGTCATTGTGACCTGACGATGTTGGAGGCATCTCAGGCTGATGGTCAATCTCATCTTCTTACCAAACCACGATCTATGCCTCAGGACGATATTACTTCAAGTCATGCTAATCACCATTACATGGATCGTAAAAGAATGGTAACAGAACCCATGGACCCTAATCAACATTTATTTGAAGGCCCTCTCCAAAATGAAAGTCCTCTCCACAATGACACAAATGATATCGATTCATCAAGCCTTCCGCCAGGGCTTCCTCCAGTAATTGGACATCTGTCATGTTATGCAAATCGCGCTAGCACAAAGTTCATGCCAAAGCTGTCTGGTGGGGATAAGCCCACTGCACTAGAGCATCATTTTTGACGAAGAACATTCTAAAGCGAGACGAGGCTGATATCAGTCTAATGGACATCCAGCAGATTTGTTTGCCTTCCCTATACTGCATATCACATGAATTGACGAGTATTGTACTAGGGTGAAGAGATCTTCAAACGTGGCATACAGAGTATGCCAGACACAACTGTCCGATCAGCTGTTGTGGCAAAGCGAGCTGATACCGAAAGCAAGCGTTTACGCGCACTCGCAGCAGTGTGGGAACTCGAGGCAGCTGAAAAACACACAGTACTTCTTCAAACAATTCTAAGGGATTATTCTCGACAGTATGTCAAGAGTAGGGAAGAGGCTCGCTTTTTCGAAAGGCTGATGGTCGGACGCAACAGGCATCAGCTCGAAGATGACACAGACTTCACCATTGCTGCATATTCCCATGATCTCGTGGCATTCAATATTGCAGCCGTGCAACTCAATTATCTGGAGACGACTGTTGCTGAGCAGGACTTATCCTTGGAGGATTATGACCCAGGAGATGCTGAATACTGCTTCAGGGAATGCATAGACAGCGTAGTGAGGGAATCAAGATGCAGTGCATCACCCATGTCTGAGGCTCTGGCCTGAGGTGAGGCGATCAGTAATCTGTCTCGTCATACTTATTATTGATCGTGGTGTATAGATAGGTCATATAAGTCATGCATTCCTTTCTAGTCCGTGCCTGTTTGACATATGTAATCATTCCAATTCACCTGAGGCTGATATAAGGAGAGGATGAGACTCACCAATTTGGGTGTTAGTTAGATCCCGGACTACTAGGGCCAGACTCGTCAAGGTTGCCCCAGTAAAGAAGAAATGATGTATGTACGTGTTACTAATATTGGCATTACGATACTGGTACTACTTCATAGTAGTCTTGGACCTGGATTTCAATGATACTCTGTTGGCAGAAGTCAAGATGATTGATGTAAGAATCTGGCCGAATATGAATTATGCACTTGGTGATTACAGTGACGCCGTACGCTAATAGAGACCTTGAATATTCTCTTTATCTGCCATGATATCATCAGCTCATGCCTTCTTTTTCCCTTTAGCCTTTCTTCTCGCCTTCCTTCGTTCATCCTTCATGTGAGCTTTGCAAATGCCAGTGTGAAACGTAAATGCAGCTCCCTCCGACATGCCAACCTTCTCCACATAAAACTGACTATTAAAGTGCGCTGCGGTCGACAGATAAAAAATACCGCGCTCTTTCAGCGTATTCACATATTTCGGAAAGTTCATAGCAGGGTAGCAAGAATTGATGCTCGTAAGGACTGCCTCAATATCTTGCAGCGGTTCATCATCAGTTTCTTCATCACTCTCCATGAAGAGCGCAAATGTCCTCTTGAGTGGTTGAGGAGTCAGAGCTTTAGGGCCCTCCACATCGTTAGAAGACCATATGCCTGAGTTGTTAGTGGCAGATGAGATATGGACATGGTTATGGATGACAGGAGATATGCGCTCGGTGGGCACACACTGAAGTGACGATCTTTCCTTATGTGTCTTGTGAACATCATCGAAGTGAGGTGTGTTGGGTAAAGTAGCACAGGCATTGTACGAATCTCGAGTGTCGTACTAACATTTATCAGTATCATGTGCTAGTAGTGCGCTTGGAGGCATGAGTGTGTGCGTACCAAATGTTTAGCCCACTCCTGCAGGTCTTGGGTACATAGCGGATAGTGTGGAGTGTTTAGCTGCGACACATCCACCCAACAGAATGTTGCGGTGTTCTCCAACTCAGAGTCTCCAAGTTGATGCTCAAAGCAGGGCAACTTGCTTTTGACATGTTCAAGTTCCTTGGTATATGGTAGACATGACAGCTAGGTGTGACGCTCGGACCCGCGCTGGGCGGGAACAAGTGTCTTTTCATACTTGTGTCAGGAGATATAGGAAGTTACCCACTGACATCCTTCCTTATGCCTCTAACAATGAAGCCTTCCTCGGTCGCACTTAATCCGATGGTCTTCCGTTCTCAGGTCCGATTTTCCGTTCCGTCCATCCATGTCCTTCCATGTCCGTCGAGTTCCGCTGGTGCGTGTTTATTTCTATTCAGGTTGACTAATAATGTGGTATGGCTTATTACATGTATCCGTGTGTTTCGTTCCACACGCGTTCACATTACATATTACTTATCTGCCTCGTTTCATCGCTACAAGTCTCGCCTACGGATTCCAGACACTCACGCAGTTGGATAAAATCTCGCGCGCTACATACAGTAAAGTACTTCCCTTCCCTCAGACGCTATCCCTTTGTTTCGCGAAGTCACTTAGGCATTCTTAGTATTTTTGACCAATTGACAATCTTTGACTCTCATTTACTCGAACCCGTGCATTCTCAACCGCTCTGAGAATGCGCATCTAAGTTCCTTACCTAGGCTCTGCACGAATCTGTTCCGTACACGGGTTCAGACTTAGCATTCCATACCTAGTTATACCTTGGCTATAACCCTCGTCCATACCTAGCTGCTACCCACGGAACCACGCATTACCTAGTAACCTCTCGCTCTCACTTATTTTTCATCGCGCCTTCATCAGGTTCGCGCTCTCGCCTTCGCTCCTACCATCGGCTTCGCTTTCCGTCCATCGCGTTCATTCTTCCGCGTTCCACATCTACTCCCTTCGCATTATACTTGAAGGAAGTGCTTCATAGCAATCCTCTTGGGTCGATATAGCACACCCGCACTCAGTAGGATTTTATTAGTGCTCTAGCTTACTTGCTAGCCAGTCACTATTACTTCTTCACATCAGACACCTTGAGGTTCTGCTTGCTTGCAGAACATCTTCCTGCTTGTGGTTTTGTTGACTTTCCTTTAAGCGCAGGCATCTACGGCAAGTTACCGTGACTATCATATCATATAGGCAATCTGAGATCAGAATAGCACTTACGGTATTGACGATGTCAATTACAACTTTCTTCTTCTGTCCAGACCTCTGCTCCGTCCTCGCAGCCTTGAAGGCACTCGAGATATCTAGAGAAGTCAAAAGTCAATGTGGCACATCTGTGCGGCGGGCTGTGGACAAGCGCCATCCCAAATGCTCGTATGTTTTTGGGAGGTCCATTACGGCCCTTGTGGAGTCGAGTATATCCAAGGGATGGTCCGATTCAGCAAAAAAATGACCTATGTATGTCGTTGATTTGTTCCTATCTGCAGTGTTCAATGGAATTCGAAATTCGACTAGCAGTATGATGTGAGTATGATATTGTAAGGAAATTAAGGCAGCTGTCAGATATACCTTTCTCAACATGCTCGGGCTGCTCGGGCCCTTGGTAGCAGGTGGGGTGTGGTTCTGACAGTTGTTCGTCTGATGATTCAGACGAGTACCACGACTGAACAGCACGGATGCGGTTGGTCTCTGAGTTGTGGACCAGATCAGGTAGGTCTTGACGGGCACCAAGGAGATATGCCACCGTTTTAAGACAGGAGCACTGGCGAGTAGATGGAATAGATTCGATCTGAGTATGCAAGAGAACATTCTGATTGTCCGAGGAGTCACCATAGGGACAAATTGAAGTGGGCGGAGTGACGGACATCTGATACACTGATGGTCAGACTTAGGACCTCACCCTCAGTGAACCTTTATGACGACCTCTGGTGGTACCATACGTACACAACTCACCAAAGCAGGATCATGGTGACTGCCTAAAGGGGAAGACTTAGAATGCTAAGAATTAGTAACTGATATCATAGTAGCTCAATTTCTGCATTTAGACACTCACTTCGGCTAATGAGCCTTCATGTCATATCCCGTATTCCGGACCTATATCCAATAATATTCCCATGCCTCATCCGGACCTTCGGATGTCCTATCCATGTCTCCAGTCCTCTACCCATCCGGATCCCTGCACCTCTGCACATCCACATCCGCACATCCACGTCCAGATCCCTTTTCCTTCGCAGCTAGCCTGCATTAGTCATCCTTGTCCCATCGCCCTAATGTTATATCTCGCATATCCATGCATCTCATCCAGACCATATCTGATCTGATCTGATCTGATCCTATCTGATCCTATCCGATGTATAGATACATTTCCGATCTGATATACGATAATCTTCTTGATTTATTTCCTGTGCATATAACGTTAACACAGCCTATCCGGTATTCCTTGTTTCCAGTACCTCGGTTATATCCATTACCGGTATGCTTACTGATCTGTTAACCTATGCTTCATTTCCGACTCGTGTTTGATAACTTTGCTTATGCTTCGTACATAGCCTCAGACCTTTGCTTATTGATCTTTCCGATAGTCACTTAGTATATAAACTCTTGTATATGTCCTGTAGTTCCTCAGTCGGAATATCATATTAGTCCTCACACTAGTCTTCACTCTAAGTCCTCATATCAGTTCTAGTCTTCCAACTTAGTTGATATCCATCTCAGGCCTAGGGAGTTTCTCCCTAGGCCAGAGCTCCGCTCCTCCGCTCCTCCGCTCCTCCGCTCCTCCGCTCCTCCGCTCCTCCGCTCCTCCGCTCCTCCGCTCCTCCGCTCCTCCGCTCCTCCGCTCCTCCGCTCCTCTGATCCTCTGATCCTCCACTCATCTGAAGTTCCGGAAGTTCCTCCAGAACTTTCCCGCACTCATCTGGAAGTTACTTGCACCCGTCCGGAAAGTCCTTCTGAAGTTTTCTGCGCCTTCGGACGTCCTTCAGACATCTTCAGACTTTCTTCAGACACCAATCTGAAATTAAGGGCACATACTCGGGTAAGGGGCACAGTGCACGAGCTGAAGCCAAGCCCCTCAGAATCAGTCCTACCCTTTGTGCATGGTCTTAACACTTCACCAGCCAATGAAAGCACGACTTGACTACCGGTGAAAAAGCAGTCCCAGGCTAGAGTGCCAAGGACCCTAAGCTAATTCTGACAAGACGACGGGAGAAAGTCAGAATGAGGCGATAAAACCATTGCCTTAAAAGGATTATTCTGTTCAAGGAATTGTCAAGTACTGAAATTGACTAATAATATGTGACACTCACATCGATGAACACAGGCAGCTCTTGACCATCCTCATCAAGAGACGTCCACGGGAGGTGTGGGGTAACCCATCTGATATGCTGTTCAGTGAACCAACAAGTCGGCTCAATAATTGCACTCACAAATCTTCGCCTGTGCGGAAGTTCGGGGGACATTGATGACCGCCTAGTACCAGCGTGGGAATACCTGGGATGCTTAAGTTCATACAAAGGAGTGAAGCAATGGTCCAGCATGCTCCCGCTGCGTGTCAATCCAGCTTGTGCATCACTCCACCATTTCACCTTGGCTGTCACACCAAGAGTGCCCAGGGGCGCTACAATGGGGGCGGAAGATAACAGAGCAATGTTGATATTTTCTCCGCCTGCTAGTAGATGAGTATGTTAGTTTCAGACAACATGGCACGCTTACTTTTATCTGAGAGGTACAAGGTGTAGGCAGGTCAATAAACAGCCCTCGAAGGATGCGACGGACCATAAATTATTTTGACATAACGACAACAGCTATAGTACATGACGGATCAGTAACTTCGTAATGTATCATACCAAGTAAAGCAAGTATCAATGAATCAAAGCAGAGCTATTCGTAAAAAATCATACAAGGGCTGCAAAACGCGCTGGAGTGAGAGCTGCTAGCTGTAAAACATATGATTCGTAGTGATGTCTATTTGCATCTCAAATAAACACACTGTCGACGTATCTACTGGTTATGTATTCCTGGAATACTCACAAGCACTGAGTGGCGATCATCGCAAGTAATGGGAAGTAATCGTTTCCAGTGATATATTGATGATACCGAAACTCACTGTCATATAACAAGTACCTCGCCAATGTTATGATGGTGGGGTTGGCAAAAGCGATGTCCATGTCAATTCCCTCGACCTAAAAGAAGAGTCGTGATTCAGTCATAATAAAGGTCAAGTCCGCGCACTGTACTCACAGATATGGTACTGTAAATGAATGCATTGTTCGCTACTAAACCTTCCACCCAGTTTGCGTGCTCCATAATGTGTGCGTCCATCACCATCAAATCATGGCTGAAATCGAGGTCATACTTGAGGAATACAAATACCCTCACTATGACTGTCATTCAGCCAGATATTTACATGAGCACTGGCCCAAGCTTTGATCTCGCAAGGCTGGGGTTGTCTTCTAGTTGTTCTAGGGACCACGTCCTCAGTAACCCTATTCCCAATTGATCAGTCAATGTGGCCGCCATGTTTCACGAAATGCTTAACATCTGTTTCAGGGCGATTGGCCTCAGTTGTCCACACAGAATTAGCCATATCAGTAAGAGAGCGAACCGAGGGTAATAATGAGTCTTTGAAGGCCCATCATTTCATTCTCTCAATACATCAAAATATAAATCATTTGAGCCCGAATGGGACGATACCCTTCGTTGAAGACCAAATGATAGCATGCGTTGAAGATGGCCCTGCGGCTGCTGTGACACGTTTGGCACCCTAAGTGGACAAGTGAGTCGTTGACTCATAGCCGCGGCGACGGCCCTGGGATGGATGTTGAGGAGTATCATGAAGATTGGTGCGTGTGAGGGCGTGGCTCAGGCCAACATTGGAAAGTTATCGGATAGAGATGATGGCAGCAATGTGGGCTGCCGCGACTCGCGACTCGGCCCAGTCTGCTGAATCACCTCAGTCAGCTGGGGAGCCAAGTTCAATGAGGCCGCAAGGATCACAGCCGCATGAGCCTTTTGAGTCAGGGTTGGGCTTGGTGGAAACGCCCAGGTCGCAATAAAATTGTGAGCAACACTAGGCCGGGGATGAGCCAATCCTAAGTGAGGTTGCCTCTGTGAGGCTGAATACTGTGACGGTTGATGATGATAGACTGTGGCTGTGTCTGACCCATGATGACTGTCCTGCGATGGCCCAAGCTGCCCAAATTGAGGCTGGCTCTGCGAGGCTGAATACTGTGACGGTTGATGATGATAGACTGTGGCTGTGTCTGGCCCATGATGACTGTCCTGTGATGGCCCAAGCTGCCCAAATTGAGGCTGGCTCTGCGAGGCTGAATACTGTGACGGTTGATGATTATAGACTGCAGCCGCGTCTGGCCCATGATGACTGTCCTGCGATGGCCCGAGCTGCCCGAATTGAGGCTGAATACTGTGACGGTTGATGATTGTAGACTGCGGCTACATCTATCCCATGATGACCATCCTGCGATGGCCCAAGCTGCGATGGATGATGGTGCAGCAGGGCCAGACTGTCGTTCTGCCAAATGACTTGCTGCTGTGGGGTAATGAAATATGATCTGGCCGTGAACTGGCTTGCAGGACTTGGCAGCGGCAGCGTGAGTGGCTGGGACTGAGCCTGAGGCCATTGAAGTTGATCAGAACACTGGATCCAATGATCGCCGTGTTGATCATTGTAAGGCGAGTAAGAAAGACGAGTTGGAGGTGGGTCACCATGTCCAAATCCGACGAGTTGCTCATCAAAACTGGCCATGGCAGCATCCCACAATCGTTGATCATTCAAGTCGCCCCAACTTGAAGAGGCTGACTCGGACATCAGTGTAGATAGAAAACAACAGCTGAGAAAAAGTACTCACATTTTGAGGGTTCAAATCATGCACTAGACCTAGACTTGAGGACGAACACGTGAAGTTACCATGATAATCGATTGAATTCGCTACTAGTAATTGATTGAAAAGTTTGCAGTCCAGTTCAGTCACTGAGTAACGCAATCACCGTGAGACGATCATAAATGGTAAGTGAGTATTATATATACAAGTACATAAAAGGTTTTACCATGTTACAAAGGCCGCAATTTTTGCACCCCCGGAACAGTGCCACTGTTCATGATGGCAAGTTTGTCAGCTTCTTACATACAAGTGAGACCCGGTGTCCTACCTCGTGTCGCACTACTAATCAGAGTCTTAGCTTTCGCAGTCTGAAGCGATTCCGGCGCGACAATGTTGTCCTACCTCATATATAACCCTGATCATTATCATCGTGTGGACTGAGGCGTTTTTTGACTTCAGAAAGAGCGAGGAGAGCTTGCATACGCGTATTAGAAAGTTGATTGGGAAGGAGATAAATAACTCAACGTAGTAAGTGGCTGATGTGCCTTTTGCGGTGTTCCAAACATTGATCTTGGTTTGGGGTTTATGGTTGCCAGACCAACGGATGGAAGAAGCACATGTTGTAGAAACAACAATACAGAGAGGAACAAATGATGCTCCAGACTGTATCTATAAATGTTGAAGGTCATGTGTTTGCCTAGTCTGCTATGCTTGAGATGACAAGCGCATTCGACCCTAAAGGGGAAGTGAGTGCAGCAAGGATCTAGAGGTGTGCGCCAAAGTGAAGCACGAGAAAGCGCAGGTGCACACAAGGCACGGGAACGCGCGCGTGTATTGCGCGAAGTGTGGGAAAGCGCGCGCGTGTATGCAGAAATAAGAGAGACTAAACTTAAGTGATGATATGATACAAGGTAAGAGAAGAGTGATGTGAAGTGTAAACAAATAGATTTCTACTGCGAGTTTCTAGGTAGTAAGTGGGTGGAAAGTAACTAAAGTAAGGTGAAAAGTAAGTTGAAAAGTAAAGTGGTAGGAAAAGTCAGTCAAGTAATAGTATGTACTGCTGGCGCTTATATAGGGCGCCTAAGTGCTGTCATGCGGAGCCGAAGCGCTACCAAGTAGGTATGTAAAGATATATATGAGTGAGAATCCATGATAAAAATAAAGGTGGAATGATATGCTAATGAGAGAAATGGAAATATACGCACTAGAGGGCTTGGTGGACAGTGGATGGATGCTTCTGGATGGCTGATGCTATAGGGCGCTCAAGCACGGGAACGCGCGCGTGCGCGCGCATATACATCGCAAAGCGCAGGAAGGCTGCACCTCATATAGAGATAGCTGCGGGTAGCGCACAGAGTGACACTACAAGTTCGTGCTATGTACTCCCTAGTGAAAACTGTCATATTAGACCATGAGACACACGAGTCTCTACAGTGTTCAAGTATCGCCTGGCCCTAAATTGTGCGCAGGATAGGCACAATGCGGGAAGAAAACCCTATAACAGCCATATCTTCAGCGCACGGCACTAATGCTGCAACACCAGCAACTGCTTCTCTCGACGCTCACGATATCGCAAATCGCATCATGCGGCAAGCGAACTACCTCATCACACTGTTTAATAAGGACTTGCTTGATCTTCACATGCCACCGTCTAGTATTGAGGCAAAGTGATGACGGCAAGGGGCGGATGTTAACAAGGGTGTTGGAGTGGAATTTGTGGTTTTGTTTGATGGAGTACCTGTTTGACCCACAAGGACGCGTCAGGAAGGTATTCTTGAAAATCAAGAACAGAGCCATTTTAATTGAAGGGTACACCTTTTCCTCAGCTAAACACGAGAAATGGTACACTCATGTGATTTAGGCTTCGTCGACGTCTCATTTCTATGGGTATATTGAACACTATTTTTGCACCATCATGATTTATCTTCCTCTACCGTATGATCATGTTTTCATTCTTCCACTATTTCGAGGTGCGTCACTCCTGCTATAACTTGTGGAGTTAGCTAACATCCTGCAGGAATACCACAAAAATCCGTCATCAATTGGTGGCCGGCGTTACATGCCCTTCGCTCAGTAAAAGTTTCGCGAGTTCAATGAACTCTCCCATCTCTTCACGTGGTGGTTAGATGAGTCACACCCCCTAGCGAGCATGTATATCGGCCAATTTCCCAACAAGAGATGACCATCATCTTGTGGTTCGTTCATGACTTCTTTCCTCATCAATTGCACTGATCACCTTTTTAGTTTCATACCTTTTATTGCCGGGTCCTTTGCAGTGATGCTCGTGCTCACATCTGTCATTGATCCCGATTTGGTTTTGCACTTTGAGATTACACCACATAGGACTGTCTTATTCTATCTTGGTATCTTTGGGGCCGTGCTTGCCGTTGCGAGAGGGATGATACCAGTGGATAACAGGGTGTTTGATCCTGAGCTGCTCATGACAGAGGTCATTCAATATACACATTACATGCCAGATGAATGGAAGGGGGAGCTACATTCCAAGAAGGTTGGTTGGTCCTAGCTTTCCATTGTCGAACTTACTTGTTGACATTGGAACAGGTTCACCAAGAACTTGGAGAGCTTTTTGCGATGAAGATACCCATTTTCATACAAGAGATTGTCTCAGTCTTGACGACACCATTCATACTCTGGTTTTCATTACCCTCATGTGCACCCGCTATCGTGGACTTTTTTATGACTTCACTGTCTGGATACCTGGGAGAGGGTATATTTGCAGCTTTGCCAAGTTCGATTTCAAGAGGCACGGCAATGTCAAGGTGAGACAATTGTTTCAAGTCTTTGTCTACGTCTACTGACCGTTGAGTTGTTCAGAGCTCCCGCACAGAACCAAGATGAGCGTATGATGTCTCGAGAGGGCAAGATGGAAAAGAGTTGAAGGTTTGTGACTTATATATAATAGTGCGTATTTCTAACATAACTATTCCTGTCATTCAGGCAGCGAACCCCGACTGGAATCCATCTGATCCCTCCGGCTCCCTGTATCTCAGCCGCATCGCCGACCTCAGTGCATGGCGCAGACTTTCCACTTCGAAGACAGCATTAGACAATACCATCCTACTAAACAACGGCAACAAGGACCCTGCAGAGTGTGCTCACGAATACGACTGCGCTCTTCGGCAGAGTCAGCATGCTGCCCTCCGGCGAAGACTCCAGCTAGGTGGGGGCGACATCATCGCAGGTGGAGGCGGTACCGCTTCTTTGACTATATGGCAGTCGGCCATTGGCTCGAATTCAGCTATGGGTATGGCACAGACCACGATACTGGGCAACTCTCAGGGAAGTATTGCGCCTCTGCCGCCGCCGATACTGGATGAGGACAGAGATTTAGATGGTGGTGTTGGCAGTGGACTGGGCGATTCATACATTGATGGGGACACTCAGGGCAAGAAGCCGTACGAGTCACAGGAGGAAGGTATCAACGACGAAGAGGAGTTAGAGGATGGTGGTGTTAAGAACGTGCTCAAGGGTCAAATCCGAAGGGCTTGGCTTCAGCTCGTGCGCTGCGCCCCTTACCCGAGTACGTGCCCCTAACTTCCGAAGATTGTCGAACAATATCCGAAGGTTACCAGACGATGTCCGGAGGGCGTCGGGCAATGTCCGGAGTCCGATGTCCGATGCGCAGGAATTCCGGCGGACGTTCGGGAACAAGAGATAAGACTAATCCGGACAAAGTCCGAACTAGAAAGGAAACAGTGGAGGACTACCAAAGGTAGAGGCGGAGGTGATAAGTCAATAGGAATCAATTCTCAGACGAGCGGAGGTCGACGAGAGGATAACTCAAGTCGGACGGAGGAAGGAATGAGCAGAGTCTAAGATAATATTTGAACTAAAGATGTACATAGATTCTACAGGGTTTATATACTACTAAGATGCGAAGTCCGAAGCTATACAAAGCGGTGGACGGAGCGTATAGAAAAGTCAAACGCTAGTCTATCGGAAAATAGTTAAATGAACCCGGAGATTAGATCAGAGGAAAATAAAGGGCGGAAATGAAACGAGGTACGGAAAATGATTTAGTCTAACCGGAGTAGGAACATACAAAGGGATAAGGCACGGAAGTTAGACGCGGGTCGGATCCAGACATAGATAGACGTCGACCAGATCCAGATATCCAGAAATGATATGTGATAAGTCCGGGTCCGGAACACGGGATATGACAGGTGGGGTGCTTGGGCTACTGGCGCAGATATATGCTGCGAAGGGCCCTAAACATGTCCCTGTCATCTGAGGGCTGTGTACATGATTTCTATTAAACCACATTAATGGTTATCATATCTTATGATATCTTGCACATTTGTAAATGCTCGCACATATGATTTCTATCCTGCGTTTTTGTAATGTCAACTTCGCGTGAGTCCAGGTAGACTGCAAAACATCCTTCGAACAGAGATCTACAATGATAGAAAGCTGCGCGGATATGATCTTTCTCTGGGGGGGGGTCTTGTGAAATGATGTCACGGTGGTGTCAAATATGAAATTACGTGGTATGTCGTCAAAAACATGAAAAACCATACACTATTCAAGCAACGAAGACTCAAGATGCACATCAGTGAACCGGTGAAGAGATGAGATTGATATATAAGGCAATATGCACAGCGACTTGCGAGTCATTGCCAGAACTAATGGTATCATCTGTCTGAGTTGAAAAAGGCACAGGGTGGTGGCTCTCGTCTGCCGGGTTCCGGTTAGGGCCGTTGTCCTGCGGGAAAGTCTTGGATAACATTAAAATTGAGCCAATATTTGATGGAAACTAAGAACAATCAGCGACGTCAATGCTAGCGAGCTTCCGTCCCTTACTGAGTGCGAAGGAAGCATGTTACGATTGTGTTCCTAACCGTCAGGCCAATCTCTATCTGCTGTCAAGGGCTAAAGCCGTTGTCCTGCAGAAGGTCTTGGATAGCATTAAAATCAGACCAATATTTGATGGAAACTGAGAACAACCAGCGACGTCAACGCTAGTGAGCTTCCGTCCCTCACCGGCTGCGAAGGCAGCATCTCACAATTTTGTTATGAATAATCAGGCCAATCTCTACCTGCTGTCAAGGGTCGGAGCCATTGTCCTGTGGAAAGTCTTGAATAAACTTTTAATATGAGATATAAATGCTTGCAAGTGGGAATGCTCAATAACACGGACACCATTATGCTTATGTCCATTGCTGTCTGTGAAGGCAGCTTGTTATGACTTTGTCGTGGACTCCTTTAGTGAGTCTATATTGGTGATCATCCATAGCTAAGTACGATCAAGTAGAATTTGTTGTGGCATACATAGTCATGTTTGGTGACAGCTGAATTACATCATCCTACAGTTGCAATGGCTACAATTTCAAGGACTCATGCATTCGCTGATGACTGCGTTCTAAAGCGAGGTTGTAAGGGATATGTATCCTACCGACCTTGGTGTCAACTTTGATCACCTTACTATATGCATGCTGTGATAGCTTTGGCTGAACTGTAAGGCTACGTAGCACAGAACATCAGTTTTTCTCCCTCAGATCTCAGTAATCATGATGTAGCCTGAGCCTAAGAGTGGGTACTATTAGTAACGATCGATAAGACCCAAATATGAACAAACATATAATCTAAGCATAATATTACATAATATAACTTGACCAACTATCTCAGTTGCGAAATGGAGGGAATTCAGTCAAAAAGATGGGAAGCTACTGATTCTGTGGTGTCCTTTTTCGATACACGTTAAAATAGGCGGTTACCTTATCAATCAACTTCCGATTTCAGTGTACATCAAAATCGGCAGGTATCTAGTGATCGAACTCAAGCCACACTCTCATGCTCTTGTTCATGCAGTTTTCTCATGAGCTGTATTCTGATTCAAGGTTACTAGTATAGCTTAAGCACCTTGTCCATAGTTTGTTCAAGGGCCCGGGAGTACCATAGTCTTATCAGGGAAAAACCCAAAACCCATTTTTGTAAACCGTGTTCATAAAAAGAACCTCATACACACCGGCGGTTTTGGAGTTTTGCACTATGCAAGATTTGTTTTGAAATGTTAGTGATAAAGTTGGCATTCTTACTATACATTTTGACGCAGTAAAAATGAAAAAATTGGATGAGTGGCCAAATCCTGGGCAAAATTCTACATTTTATGAATCATTTTGACGTTGTCAAAGAAAGACATTTAACCGACAGCAAGATCTGAAGAAAAATGATCGAACATTTTGATTCAAATCTTACATGGGGTGAGGTTTGAAAAAAATTTGAAATAAAAATTTTAAAACACATTTTACCTGTTGGAAAGGAGTTTTACCCCCATGTAAGATTTGAATCAAAATGTTCGATCATTTTTCTTCAGATCTTGCTGTCGGTTAAATGTCTTTCTTTGACAACGTCAAAATGATTCATAAAATGTAGAATTTTGCCCAGGATTTGGCCACTCATCCAATTTTTTCATTTTTACTGCGTCAAAATGTATAGTAAGAATGCCAACTTTATCACTAACATTTCAAAACAAATCTTGCATAGTGCAAAACTCCAAAACCGCCGGTGTGTCAGTATTTCAAACTCAGCCTCACTGTCTCCAGAGTCCACAAGGTATGGCCGCTGTTCAAGTTCCTCCTCAGAGCATCTTCAGACACTATCGTCCTGACTATGAAGGCCCAAGCAAGGGCAGAGCGAATGGCCTTTTGAATGGCCGTGAACAAGATTTCCATCGCTCTTTGGCTATTGCCAATAGCACGACTCGTCGTACGCGTCGTACTGCCACTACACCAACCAAACGCCGTGCAAGATCACTTTACTTATCTGACACCGGTCCCTATGATTCATCCGATGAAGACATAGATGCACCTGTAACTCCTCCTCCCATAATCCGGAGTCTGTCTCGTTATGTGCGTTCTGCGAAAGCACGACCCAAGCCCTACGAGAGGCGTGACCCCAGCACAGTACAGCGCCGCTACGCTGCAAGCCAACTTTCCCCCACTGATTCTGGAACTTTACCGGACACTCAGAAGGTATGTTAACCGATGCATACCCGCAACTTCTTGATAATCCAACAGCATGCCAGGGCAAAGTTTTACTCGAAAATCGATTGCAATCCCTGTCTCCCGAGGCAATTGCGCAAGCCGTCATCACGAAACGAACTGATGTTGAATGGAGGCGCATGCGTGCTCTGACAACAGCTTGGGAAATCCAAGCTATCGAAGAACAGAAAAGATTTCTTCAGATGGTTCTTGAAGACGACGGTGACACATATGTCAATGCTGCGTCAGAACCTCGGGACACCTCGCTCCAAGGGATCTCTAGAGGAAACGTGGATGAGCTCGATGAGCGCCTCCACTTTTGCGTGGCTGTATACAAGCCTGACATAACGTCGCTCGCCGTTGGAGACAAACAGCTTGATCTCGTTGAGGGTATGGCCCACTCCCTTGTCAACGATTGCGTCGATGGAGATCGCTTACTAGACTTCACGAGTTTGGATGACTCAGAAGATCAATGCGGCAGCGGGTGTGAATCCGAGTCCATAGACAGTAGCAGAATGTCGCAAGATTCTGTCAAGTCCGATGAAACATCTGATGTAATTATCGTATCGATCACCGTCACTTATAATACTGATCTTGCATAACAGGCTGGATAGTAAAGCACAGGTTGTACCATATTATGATGCCCTCTGTTCGTCGATATACTTTTTATTGGACGTTTTCCTCGTAAACCCGCTTTCAAGTCGATTATTATTCACATCGTGTGTTTCCTCCCTCTCTTTGTAGTAGTGTGTAGCCCTCATTGATTGAATTCCGCGTCATGATCTTCATGACGAAATAAAGCGTCTTGCATACACCATGCGAAAGCAAGACGTTGACATCGAAAGCCCCAATGTACTATATAGTGGTAACGCACAACCTGGGCGCAGAAGCTAGGTACAAGTGTGATAGCAATTGATCGATGAACGTAAAGGAAGTTGATTGGGTAAAAGCCCGTAGGGCTTTTCGGCCCAGCGCATGCGCACGGACCTAAGATTTCAAGGCTAGATGTTAGCCGGAGCAAGGTGCGTTGCGCCACTTTGTTTACTTAAATTTCTGTGCTAGCCTCGTGCCTCGGCTAGCACAGACAACCAATATGGGAGGGTGCACTCCTGCCATAGCGTGATCCCACGTGGAATCAATCGGCGCCGACTTACCTTATGTAGCACGCGACTTTTAGGGAAAAAAACGATGATTTGTGTTTGCAAGTCGAATAAGTACAACATTCGATTTATTCGATCTATTTTATTCATCAGGGTCTTCTCTGAGCCGGCTAAGAGTAATATTATTATTATAATTTACTGGTCGGACCTGACTCATCTTATCAGCATCGTGCCGCCTCTAGGCTACCCTCGTGTTAGGGGCCTCCTGAGTCCTGACTCTAATGTGATACCGCAATATCCAAAAGGGTAACTACGAGAGCGCAACCTCGATTTATCCGGAGTCGGTCCGACGGCGAGAACGGTGGCAATTGACATGGACACTTCGGCTAACTTTGCGATGGGCGCAGTCGAGACACCATCACGCCTTTTTACGTGCCGACCCAACTCAGACGACTTCCAATATTAATGACGCTACTATGGACCACGGGTTTTTCGATGTAAGCATCGAAGTTCGTCCACACTGCCTGGAAATGGACGCTGTTCTGAAAATTATCTTGTTCAGTATGTTGTACCCCTCATGGAGAGCGTATGGTCCTATTACATATCGCGTTGTGGGAATGACATTGCAGAGCGCTGGTCAATTTCGGAGCTTGATCGCGGCGCTATTTGGGAACCATTCAAGAGCCTCGCGTATTCTAGTCCATTTTGGATCACTCCCAAAACGCCTCTAGGTAGTAAGCGACATGAATTTCAAACCAATCTTTTCAAACTCTAGCTGCTGCGATGCATTGGGGCAGGAAGTTGGGTGAGGTAAGTGAAATCGGACGCGAGGCAGGAAACGACCAGAGATTCAGTATGGTAGTCTTTACCAACCTTAGCCGGCTTCAGCCTGCAATCATTATCCATCACTATTTGGTACACGGTAATTATCATCACAATATAAACCTTAGACGTCTTTTTTCACTCTGTTATAGCCGCGACCTCCAGTGACCTCGCACGTTTACACCGAAAGGTATGTACAGCTACTTTTAACATCATCAGATGGATTTAAATCCTCGATACTACTACTAGTGTTGGTACTCACGTTCCATCAGGTCAACAATCGAGTTCATGGCAGACCCGGTATGGCCCGCCGGGCAATGGCAGGATACCCATTATAGGGATCACCTTGCAAATACGCTCTTCCACCAATTAAGTACAGCTAACGTGGATGAGTCCAAGCTAGTAGAAGGTATACTACGATTACCGTCGCAGTACCAGGAGCACGGGGCATTCGAACTTGGTGGAACAAGCGCGAGGACTGGCCCGATCGTTTGTCTGAGTCCGAGTCAAGGTAAGATTAAGTTTCATGACTCAACCCGAACTCTTTCAACTCCTCAATCCAGCGTTCGGTACCAACGATGAAGTGTTCTGGCCACAGCCCGAGCTGGCCGTGCCAGGTAGCAGCCAGTTGCTATAACCATTCGAGTCATTCCCAGCTTCTCAGGCTACGCAAGACCAGATTTTATCTTTGGCTAGTGACCCAGGCCAAGCTACCCCTTTAGGCTCGGGGGCCCAGACCCTACCAGTAATCGTGCAGTCGCTACGGTACCAGGCGCCCGTGGGTCAAAACCATCCGGGTGCCGTGACGAACCCAAGGCTACAGTCCAGTCAGGGTAATTGCAGCATCCCACATGCCCTGTCACAGCGCCAGTTATCATTAGGCTCTTTTGGCTTGACGTTGCCTTTGCCTGTTAATAATGATGCAACTAAGATGCTGCAACACACCAGGATCCAACGCCCCAGTTCCAAGCAACAGACTTCTAGCAACACTGCGCCTAGGGACGTTCCCCGTGCAAGAAGGTCCAAGGCAACGACGTCGAACTCGATCGACATTGTATCGCAGTCTTTACTCATACAAGTAAACGAAGAAGCTGCCACGAAGATGATGAGCTTGAACTTTGAGGAGGGGTTTTTCCCTACCACAGATGAGCTTACAGCGAGGGCCGAGGAAGCTCTGGACGACGTCGTCGCCCGTCATGCAGACGGTATGTCTTCCGTACCGTATCTTCATTTCACAACCCATTGATGAAAAACGTAGAGGGAATCAAAAACTGGAGGTCAACGGATGGCGAAGCCCTTATCAACAAATTGAAGGGCATCATCACAGTGCTCCACCGCGAATTTGCGGAGCGAATTGGCAACGCTCTTACAGGCTTCCAATTAACCTTTGATACAAGCGAGAGCAAGGAAGAGATGGACCTGCGGCGCCACGCCGTTGTCACTACCATGCTGCTGGACGACTCGTTTCTAGATGGGCACTTAGAGGTAGGTGGATTGTATTCGCGTGCCTCTCACGCTGATGTTTCGGGCTCTGATTAGTTCCAGATTAACGCAAACGAATCCCGAACATTCTGCGTTCCATTTGCGCATCTAACAATCATTGATTTTATGGAACACATGTTGCTGCGCCAGCACTATTCCCGCTTTATCCCCTTCCATCAAGACGGGAAGTGGCAAACATGCATTAGAAATACCATCTGCTTTATTGCAGCTCTATGTCGTTCGAAGATGAGGCAGGCTGTGAGCATAGATGTTACTCCCTTCCCTAGCCAGCAAGATAAGGATTGGTACGCAGCTGCCATAAAGGACACCCGCTCGTTTACTGGAGATAAAGAGACAGGGTTCAACTATTTCATCCGGGCTGTGCCCAGTATGCTAGGGGTTTCGAACTACGGAGTACTGGCTCAGAATTCGGTCGAGTAGTGATTATTCTGTCTCACTTTCGTTCGCATCATAAAACTTCGTGAGAGAATCGATGACACTAGCGTACTCTACAAAACTGCGTTTGTCGAAGTTGCCGTTTGAATTACAAAGATAGTCAGTGGACAATAACCCACGTTTAACGAATCTAGCATAACGTGCGACGTTCAAAAATCTCTTCACCAAAAGCATGGCACGACCGGGTTCCAAAGTCCTAGTGCGTGCCACAACTGAGCTTACTAGCTTAGAGCATTGACGGCGCAATGAGGCTAGATTTTTGCTGCTCTGGTGTTTTTCCTCGTTCCTCAGGGTGCTTTAAAGTTCGTCCTGTAACGACGCAATTCTTTAATCGGTACAGCGTTAATTCCTAGCGTTGTTATTCTAATGCCAATTATCTCAAATCAAGTTCGGCGGGCATTGGAAGTCCTCCAGCCCCATCAGGTTTCTCCTTCGTGCTTCTCGCCGAAACCAACCGGTAGAAGGGGCTGATCTTCCCAGCTTTGTCGTTGGTCTCACTTGCTCGTACTCCTCCGAGGGGTTGTCGATCCACCACCGTGCTGTAGCGTGGGACCATGCGTATCGGGTGCATTGCAGCGTTGCTGCGCCGTTGGTTTCAGATCTTATGTCTCCTGTTTTACGGCCAATGAACGGATCACCGCGGTCATCGTCTGTATGGGTCGTAATCACGATACATACGGACTTGTAATGGTCCTGTTCGACGACGTCCTTGGCAAGCTCCATGGATTGTTCGTTGTAACCTTTAACTTTCAAAGAAGTGCCTAGATCAAAGACTACGTCGAGCTTGCGGAGACCACCATATGGAAAATACGGCGCCAAAAATTGGTGGACGATGTCAACCGGGCTCCCAGTAGTCACGTGGTCAACCAGTTTAAAGTGGATAATAAGGATGTGCGAGAGGCCAATGAACGGATCACCGCTGTCATCGTCTGTATGGGTCGTAATCACGATACATACGGACTTGTAATAGTCCTGTTCGACGACGTCCTTGGCGAGCGCGTCCGCAGCTGGTTCTTCAAGGTTGACAGCTTCCCGAACGGAGTTAAAAATATTCTCTAGTGCTGTGTAATGTGAATGAATTGCGGTGAATTCAACGAAAAAATTATATACCTTTACGCAGAACGGGTTTCTTCGATCAACGTCACGCCCAAGGTCCTGTAGGCCAGATCTTGACGCTCTGGCCGACGTGTTGAACAGCATTGGCAAGGATGACTTTGCATCGCCGTCGTTCTATAACACATACCGGCGACAGCGCAGGGAGTACCGCGGTTCACGTACGTGTAACCTTCCGAACCGACCATCATCGCTTTTGGAACGCCTTTGGCAACCTGCTTTGTAAGCTCCCTTGCAGCAACCATAAGGCCAGCGCATTCTTCCGAACGTGCAGCCGCAATACGATGTTTAGGATTTGACTTGATGAGCGAGTCAAACGACGTACGAGCAAGCTTGATGTCGCCTACTTCAGCTCCAACCTTGGTAACGACTTAGTGGTGTGAGGTAGCCCTTTAGATCGACGGAGGTAGCAGGGCCGGAGGCAGTGACTGTCCCAGAAATCCACGACGCAATGGGTGTGGTACGACGAGGACTACGAAAAGCAGACTTACTTGGTCGAGCTTTCCAGTGCCGAGTGTATAAGAAGGTAAGTGGTGTAGTAAGTTACTGTAACTGCCGCTTAGATCATATATTTGTTCATATTTTTTTGGTTCTTATCGATCGTTAGCACCAACTTTCTACATTGTCTAAAGCCCATCCTTTCCATCGCTACTCACTGCGTCCCGTCTGGGTAAAATAGACTTGAGGTAGGAAAAATCACAGTGCGGTGGTCTTTACCAACCTTAGCCGGCTTCAACCTGCGATCGTGATTAATAACTACACCATTTGGCACACGGTGATTGTCGTCGTACCATCAACCTCAGACATCTTTCTTCCGCTTTTCGTGGGCTGATAAAGCTTATGACTAAGAAGGAAGCACAATCCTTGAGGGGAGCAAAAAGGCAGCTTTAGCTCGGCCTCATCACCGTTCGAAAGCTTTACAGGTCATATCTAGTTGACATCCGGATCTATCTATCTTCCAAAGGGGATGTGTAGGTTGCATGAAGCCTAAGGCGAATGGGACTTTGAAAAAGAAGAAACTTTTCATTCTTACTATCTAAACGACGACACTGCAGAGAACCTAGGTGAGGCGCAGACTAGGGATGCCATACGGTACACTAATATGAGTGAGATATTCAGGCACATGTGATGACCCGCAGTCTTCTCTGCCAGTTCAACGATGTCCATCACACTTTGTTGCTCAGGTAGATCGCAGTCCCGGGTCAATCTCGGTCTCAAGGTAGGCTGTTGTGTGCTGCTTTCACATCCGGGATTATACTTACCTGCATGGCCCCTCTAGGAGCTGGCGCACAACTGCATGATATCGCACACCAGCCTCATGTATGACAAGATGCTCGTAAGTTTTTTCGAAACGTCGTCAAGGCGGAGTGCCTTGAGATTGTTACGATACGCGAGCGGCAGACACGCACATCTTACCTCACGAAGACTCTTTAGGACGCGCAACTATCACATAACACTCAAGGGGGTCTGTACAAAAGATGTGAAATGGCAAGGTGAGCATGAGAGCAATACGCCGTGATATTGTACAAAGCTATTGATCACTGGCACGCCACTGCAAAACAATTTCAAGGGTGCGCGTTACTACGACTGGGTTGTGGCGATTTTTGCTGACGCCGCATCGCGTGCAGAGGCGTTTTCATTGATGCACTTCCTGATACCTGAGAGGTGTAGGTTCTGTGCCATATTCTTATCATAGTCGCCTTGACCGACGAATCCCATCTTAACGACGCGGATCACGAAGTCAAGGTCAAGGAGCTGCATCAACAACTCGAGTCACTCATGCTCCACCGACTGAAACTTGATGTCCTTACTTCCTTGCCTACAAAAAAGTGAGCGCATCCTTCGAGTAGAAATGTCTCCGCAGACGCATTCTTACAAGAAAGCAAATAGAAAACAGACAGGAGACGACACTATCAAAGCACAACAACACAGCATGACGTAGTGGACTCAATTGCGCCCGAGCCGGCGGTATCTTGTGCTTAAATATTGTAGATATCCTGACAAAGGTAGGCTTATATTGGGCTGGCTATCAACTCTCGCTCATCCTCGTCCAGAACTTCCAGGGGTTGGTGGAGAATGCAAATGGGAACAACAACGTCAACCTTGCGATGGAGCTCAAAAAAGCTGCGAATCACCGACCGGAGCCGAAGTGCGCACTGAAGTTGACGACAACACACTCTCAAAGGCCTTGCCATGAACAGCGGAGAGATGATCCTCCTTGACAAGCTCCTCGTACGCCTTCGGCAAGGTGGTTATCGTGTGCTCATCTTCAGTCAAATGGTCCGGATGTTAGACATCTTGAGTAATTACATGAGCCTTCGTGGATACCAAACACCAACGTCTGGATAGCATGGTCGTAATTTCTAGCCACATCATTGGTCGTATTAAGATCATGCTAGGACTGGACGTTATTACTGCTTGGTTTTCAGATTACATTGTTCATGGGACGCTTACCATCAACGGTCTGTACAAAAGATGTGAAATGGCAAGGTGAGCATGACATCAATACGCTTGACACAACTGCTGACTATGGAACATCATCCGCCCCTTCTTCGAAAGTATAGTTCAAGCACAGTTCGAATTCGAATTCGTGTATGTATTGGCGTTGGCGTTAGTGGTGCTGTTGACGCCAACAAACTTGTTAACCATCGGTTATTGGGCCCTTGGTCATGACTTACTTTTCCTGTAGCCTGAAGCACGGCAAGCTCGCTAACACACGATGGAACTTTGACGACTTGCGCACTCGTGTGTGGCCCTTCAATCTTTCTCTCATCGCCTCAATCTCCATCATCCTTGCTTTTTCTCTCGCCGCCGCACTTTCTCTCATCATGTCGATCTCTTTAATCCTGGCTCTTTCTCTCGCAGCCGCTCTTTCTCTCGCAGCCTCCACTTCTCTCATCCTTGCTCTGTCTCTTTCCACCGCTCTTTCTCTCGCCGCTTCCAATTCTCCCATCCTGGCTTCTTCCCTCGCCGCTGCTTGTTCTCTCGCCTCCTCCAATTCTGTCATCATGGCTCTGATCAGCGTGCCCAGACGATTACGATCACGATCCTGATCCTCGATTCAGTGCACGATCAGAAACCACGGACGGACGACTTACTTCAGTCTGTGGATCCATCGCTATCGTTTCAACGGATGATATTGATTGTTTCTCCTGATCGATTATCATTGTAAGTGACGAGCTGGACTGCTGCAAACGTTGGCGTTTGTTTGGTCACTGTAACAGGCAATAGGACTTAACACACCCAACAAAGTATTACACACGCCACCGTATTACACACACTACTTTAAAATTCGTAGATCACAGCAACAAACTATTTTATGGCCTCTACCTCAACCATGGTTTATTTCATTCTACTTCCATCGATAATTTTTATTGAATTCAAGCTGATGCATTCTAGTTATATGCTACATGACGTCCTGTCCTCCGAATCAATCGATCAAAGTCTCTCGGGTACTACTAGTTGTGACCGTGTTCTTTTGCAGTGTTACAATCTGAATCTCCGAGCAATGCATTGCAATCTACTCTCGTGATTACTAGACCAAGTGAGTACACCGATCGTGTTGGTCACGCGTCTTTCTATTCTACATATTGTAAGGACGCGGCGATTTCGAAATTGGTGTGACCGCCACGTGCGCGCGCCATTTCTCCACTGACGCTTCTTGACTCGGAGGCTATCAATATTGTTTCAGTCGCGATACTTGTCTCTCCCAGTTGTAAGGACGCTAGCACAATACGCAAATACTGTGATAATCAGGGACTAACAACTTCTTAACTGCTGACCAACTCTTCAAACACATCGCTTGCAGCAGTCCTCAACTCTTTCACAGCAACGGCAACACCCTCTCCTTCTCCCTGCTGTGAATATCGCGTCTCCAGTGCGTTAAGAACACAATCCGTACGCTCAACGAAGGACTTGAGATGGATTTGCCAAGCAATATGTCTCTTCTGTGTAGTAATGTGCATATACCTCTTCGTGCCTTCCACAAGGACGGGAAGGAACTCGAAACAATGTATGTCGTCGGTTCTAAAGCTGGCATAGGACCATGCATCGCTGATCATGTCCCCGGTGTGTTACCGGACAATAATCACTCTCGCGACCGAAGAGATACAGAAGTAGCGTGCCTTATGCCAATCTGGCCAATCTGGCCAATCATCGCTGTGTATATGTTAGACGCAGGACATGTGAACCGCATCCAGGCTTCGGGGAGCCTAACCCCGGGTTCTTTGATGATCTATGAGCACTGTCTTCAGCAATTCCACCCAATCATTTCGTACTTACGAGCGGCTCGTAACGGAACGGTGTCAAATGAACATGATCATGTTAACATATAAGGAGTGATTACAACCCAATCCAGTTTCCAAGCGTTTAGATATAGAAAGGCAACGTTATATCCTGTGCAATATCAGTGGCTATGGTCTGGATAAGAATACGTCGACAAACGAGAAGATTCGGGCAGGAAAACTGAGGGTGTTGTCTAGCGTCCGGTGAGATTTCACGGACGAACGCGCGTATTTGTTCGAATCTGTTTTGGAAAGTGAGAGCCTGCGTACAAGCTGAGCAAAGTTCAAATATTAGCCAGTTGGGCTAGCAATGGAAATTTGACACGGACAGACAACATGCATGAAAGCCTTCAGGGGAAGATTAGAAGGAACTGATTTTTTGGTAGTTCTACGCACAAAGGTCATGAGTCCACCAATAGGTCGACCAGGCATTGTGATGCTTTCACTCTCTTCGAAATCTTCACAAACCGGGAAAAAAACCTGTCCGATGTTGACTGAGAAGCACGATCAACTCGCCGAAACCGATGCTCACAACTTGTGCCTGGGAATGCTTCCTGATGCGAGCACCTGGCGTAATGCCATCGACAAACGTGCCATCATCTGGAGTCATACTATGGAGACGATCAGACAGAATCACAGGAAACTGCTTCTCTCACGAGATAAGGCAAATCTAACCATCATTCAGAATTCGGCAGCGACGAAGTCGATCTAGAGCTCATCAAGCGCTGTGCTAGAATGGCACGACTGAAGTCATTCAGCACTTAATGTTACGGTATCAAAGATTCTGCTTACATCGAAAAGCGCCTGTAAAGCTGAGTTATTTAGTGATAGATCATAGATCACTCTCCGTACCGTCAACCGTGAGCCATCTGCCAGTGGCTTTACCTGCGTGCGTTCTATCAGTGGCAGCGACTATTTGAAATATCATGTGAAATACGAGGTGTTCTTTGCGTCATGATACTGACCTGCCAGTTTCATGTATTTCCTGAAAAGCTAATCAGCCTAATCGACCGAAAATTACACGAACTCTACCAGATGCTTGTCCTGACGGTACGTTGGTCAACTCGGCAAATCACTAATAATTCGCACGTCGACGGCGTCAGTGCCAATGTCCATACTGCAGCAATTTGAAGGCAGAAACATAACTCACCGAACAGAAGAAGAAAAGTTCTGTTATGAAGGTGAGTCATGTTATCAAATCCAGGAAAAATATTGATACTCATGCATTGGTCTCTGTCGCATATGTGACAATCTGAGTTAACGTTACAATATACAGGACATGTACTGGTGCCAGCCGCGTCGGCGGGCATGGCAGAGATTGATGATGCTAAAGCAATGACGGCGAGGACAGTTGCAAAGGAGAAATGCATTGCTTGTGATGTGTGTGAGATTAGAAATTCCGAGGAAGATAGTAGGAAGATGGCTGGCTTTTATGTGCTCGCTGCTCAATGAAATTCTTGTTGTGCCAGTAGATCTTAGTACCGGTTAAGGTTCATTAGTAGTCGACTCGGCCGGTACTAAAAGCATAGTACTGGTGATCTCGATCATTCTCGAACGAAACGGTTCAGCAAAGTTCCTTCGGCTTGTCTCAGTCCGGATTCCGGAACGACGGGAAAATCCCCTGGTAATTCCTAGTGCTGCCGCAGTTCGATCCAGAACCCAGACTCCTACCCATCGCCAGTGTGTTGAGAGTACATCCGAGTGCCGCCACACAAACCAAATACGACCAACAATAATTCAAACAGCGCAACTTTGGACTCTAACACACTTGGCAGACTGGCACAAGTTGTTGGTGGCGCGAGAGTTTGACCTTGTTTGTATCTCCCGTTTGTATCAGCTCAATAATAAAGGCAAGGGGAAGATTCGAACGCGGGTCGTAAGGCAAAAAGGGAGTATAACTTACCACTATACCATAGTGGCTTTGCTTAGTGGCTTTGCTTAGTGACATTATGATAGACATATCACCCATTGGCACGCCGCTCACCAGTATATTGTTTTAACAACAGCTGGATATTGAACTCATTGCACAATTGCATTTATATTAATATACTCGGTGTATGAGCCATAATAATAATTGACTCTTGGGCTGATCTGTCTACTTATTGTGATACTTGTGTATGTGAGCCGGCCCAAGTATGTGTGGCAGTCTTGCCAATGGGTGATATAACTATTATAATGTCACAACATCAGCAAACTACTAATTTGGTGACAGGTTTTACACGAACAACAAGTCTATACAAACTATACAAGGTATTACAAATGTACAAGCAATTCAAAATTTGGAGCCGCTAAGCACAAACAAACAGGTGGACAAGCACCACAAGGACTACAGAGTGTACAAGCAATACAGATTATGCACGTAATACAAGTATGTATCAACACTAGTCTAACTTGTACCACCAGCCCTGCGCCCAATAAACGTTGGAATACCATTTCTCCTCCACTCTATGTGCATGTGTCCAACGTCAAGGTCAGCCATCAATAATCGCATGTTCGCAGCTTCTATACGACGGCGATGGAGGTTAGTAAGTACTATGTGGTGCTCCAAGATGCTGTCTGCGAGGTCTTTTTGGGCTTGACAAATCCTACGTTTTGCTTGAGCTGCTTCAAGTGCAAGATCGGAGTGGTGTTCTTTGTCTGGTTGATTGAATAATGGGTGGTCAAGGTCCTTATGCGCAATGATTAAGAACAATCGAAGATGGAACACCGGACACACGAACTCACAAACCGCAGGCCTCCGGATAAGCTGGGCTTGTCTTTAATAGCGCACGATCCCATTTGAGAAGATAAACTTTTGTTTGGAGAGAGACTTTGGCAGGACATGCGGTGTCCAACTGATGTCGCATTGTAAGGTCTTTGGAGGCGATACTTGAAGCGAGTACTATATGAGTGCAAGGACTGAGTTCTTGAAGAAGAATTGCGGGACAAAGATGAGACTACAGAAGAGCTTGGAGATGAAGTTACAGAATCATCCATCATATGTAAATATATTGTACTATGGTGGGTGTACGAGCAAAGATAAGTCTTAAGCGTGTGTGAGCACTTGAAGCGTGTGAACAAATCTTTCCTTCCAAATAACCATGTCAATATCATGTCCGAAATGCGGGAAAGTATTCAGCAAGGAGTCCAGCATCACTCGTCACCTCAGTCAGCCTCGATCATCGTGTCATAGTTCTATTCGTGACATGGTGGACATTTCTCAGTTTGCAGAGTCAATTCTACAATTATGGCGGTCCCCCGATCCAATTCTTTACCATAGTATAAATTCGGACGCATACCCTTCGCATTTCGATGTCGACTTCTTCGAGACAGAGGGAGAGGAATCCATGAGTGCGGAGGAACAGTACAAAGACGCAGGGACTCGTTACTCTCAAGACGGCCTGACGTTCTTGGATCTTTTTGACGCGGACGAGTATGCAGAATACAGAAAGGATAATTTATTCTATCCTTTTGCATCAAAAGAGGAATGGGAAATTGCCGATTTTCTTCTTTGTTCTCCCCTTAGTATGGCTGCAATCAATGAATTTCTAGCGCTCCCAATAGTGAGTGCTCTTCACGAATGCTGGCGCTTTGAGATCTTATGGACTCACAACTTTGGAGCGTTTTCTCCTCGCAATTCTCAAGTCTCTTATCCTTCTCGTATTTCTTAATATCCTTCTCGCACTTTTACTGATCACGTCCTTACTTTACAGATCCGCGGATTGAAGCTTTCATTCAGTACCACTAAAGAATTGCGAAGCCGAGCCGAGATGCTACCCAAGGGACCAAGCTGGAAGTGTCAAATTATCCCATCTCTCCATCGCACCAAAACTCCAATCCGACTTTTTTGGAGGGATCCGGTTGAATGCTTAGAAGCCCTCTTCAGCAACCCCCTTTTCCATGACAAGCTTGATTTTGTCCCTCGTCGCGTGTACACGACCGCAGCATGGCTTACCCGCATTTATTCGGAGTGGCTGACAGGGGATTTTGCTTGGGAGTTCCAGGTATGTATCTGAGCCCCATAACATGCGCTGTCTTACATAGGGCTACAGAGTCAAGTACCCAGAGGCGCTACAATTCTTGGTACAATCCTTTCCTCCGACAAAACAAATATCACCACTATGACTGGCGCTAGAGTTGCTCATCCACTTCTTCTCAGGTCTCGCCAATATCCGCATGCAAACTCGCATGAAGCTCTCATCCAGGGCCTTCCTACTCACAGCACTCCTCCCTATCCTGCAGTACTTACACTCTAATCAACGGATGCGAGGTGTTCTCGAAGACTGCCTCATACATCAATGTCTTTCTATCGTCTTAAAGCTGTTAATGATTGCGGCTGAAATCGGGATAATGATGTCTGATCCCGTTGGAAATGTTCGCCATTGCTATACGCCCCTTGCAGCATACATCATTGATACCCCGGAGGCATGTATGCTTGCGTGTGTACATGGGAAAACCTCCCCATTTACGATGGCATCATATCTGGAGTTTTGGGACAATTTTCGTCACTCCGAACGTACACGCCATATCATTCTCGATCAGCTCGCCAAGATACACGTTGATCCCAATGACCTCGAAGGTTATTTTGATGCATGCACCATATATCATCTAAACGGTGTCCATGCGCCCTTCTGGCAAGATTGGCCGTTTGCTTGCCCCTTGGTCTTTCTAACTCCAGAGGCTCTGCATCACTGGCATAAGCAATTTTTCGATCACGACCTTCAGTGGTGCATTGCAGTTCTTGGAGCTCAAGAACTTGATTTTCGATTTTGATTTTGCAGCCAGTCACAGGCTATCATCACTATTCTGGCGGAATAACGAAGCTCAAGCAAGTTACGGGCAGAGTTCACCGTGATCTGCAGCGTTACATTGTCGGTCTCATCATTGGTGCAGCCCCTCGTCGATTCGTGATCGTGATCTGTGCCCTTATGGACGTCCGGTATATGTCACAATCCCCTTCTCCGGATGACAATCTATTGGCATCTATTGACCAATCTCTTTCGACCTTTCATCAAAACAAAGATGTTATTATGATGTTGGGCGCATGGACCGGTATGAAGAAGACGATCAACAATTAGTATATACCTAAGCTAGAGTTAATGCAAAGCATCACTGCCAGCACACATAAAGTTGGAGCCCTTATCCAGTGGTCTGTGGACGCCACTGAACATGCGCATGTATCCGAAATCAAGGAACCTGTGCGACAAACTAACAATAATGATTATGACCCTCAGATTTGCTGTCATTTAGATCGACAGGACAAGCTGCGGCAATTTGCAATTGCTATGACGTTGAAGAGTGGTGTCCTTGATCCAGACCCTGAAGAATTACCCATGGATGAGGGAGACGATGAAGACATTGCTGAGCTTGAAGAACCGTCTACTGATCAATGAACTGCACTCCTGGAGGGGCTTAATCGCACACGTGTTACTACTAACTACTTTCTCAAAGCTAAGGAGGCGGCTACTGTACCTCGTTGTTAAGAACGTGCTCAAGGGTCAAATCCGAAGGGCTTGGCTTCAGCTCGTGCGCTGCGCCCCTTACCCGAGTACGTGCCCCTAACTTCCGAAGATTGTCGAACAATGTCCGAAGGTTACCGGACGATGTCCGGAGGGCGTCGGGCGATGTCCGGAGTCCGATGTCCGATGCGCAGGAATTCCGGCGGACGTTCGGGAACAAGAGATAAGACTAATCCGGACAAAGTCCGAACTAGAAAGGAAACAGCGGAGGACTACCAAAGGTAGAGGCGGAGGTGATAAGTCAATAGGAATCAATCCTAAGACGAGCGGAGGTCGACGAGAGGATAACTCAAGTCGGACGGAGGAAGGAATGAGCAGAGTCTAAGATAATATTTGAACTAAAGATGTACATAGATTCTACAGGGTTTATATACTACTAAGATGCGAAGTCCGAAGCTATACAAAGCGGTGGACGGAGCGTATAGAAAAGTCAAACGCTAGTCTATCGGAAAATAGTTAAATGAACCCGGAGATTAGATCAGAGGAAAATAAAGGGCGGAAATGAAACGAGGTACGGAAAATGATTTAGTCTAACCGGAGTAGGAACATACAAAGGGATAAGGCACGGAGCCCCTTCAGTAACATTTCCCGACTTAGTCGGACAGCCAAAGGTTGAGAATCGACCCAGTGAGGCGGGCCATCCAATGTGAGCCCAAGCATAGCTGATCACGGATGGGCCCACAGCTTGGAATAGTACCATGCTGGCGGGTCGGCCAAGTGTGAGATCAATAGGATAAGCAGGCCGATCGTATTGGGATACAGGTACTGAGAGTGACGGATGGGCCCTGTATATATGTCTCGGAAGGAAGAACGGATAGGCCCAGCTGGATATTCTATATCCATGTCATCTCGGAAGGGCTCTGCTAGTGATTTTGGGCCCAAGCGCTGACCAGTAGGTTTTGTGTTGACCCAGCATATGATATCGGAAGAGCCAGCCAATCGGTTTCGGCCCAAGAGAAAATGTCGGAAGGAATGGCCGTTGGCCCAGCTGATACAGGAAGGGCCGACTGGTGATTTTTCGGCCCAGGAGAATGCGTACATGATCTCGGATGGGCCAACGGATGGGCTCGAGAAAACATGCAGTTGATGTTGGAAGGGCCGACTAGGTATGTTTTCGGCCCAGGAGAATTCTCGGAAGGACTGGCGGTTGGGCCAAGCGAGTAATTTTGGGCCCAGCATGTGATCTCGGAAGTGCGGATGGTTGGGATTTCATATCGGAAGAGCCGGCCAATCAGTTTCGGCCCAAGAGAATATGTCGGAAGGAATGGCCGTTGGCCCAGCTGATACAGGAAGGGCCGACTGGTGATTTTTCGGCCCAGGAGAATGCGTACATGATCTCGGATGGGCCAACGGATGGGCTCGAGAAAACATGCAGTTGATGTTGGAAGGGCCGACTAGGTATGTTTTCGGCCCAGGAGAATTCTCGGAAGGACTGGCGGTTGGGCCAAGCCAGTAATTTGTGGACCCAAGCGGCGACTGGTAGTCATGTGTCGTCCCGGCATACGAGCCAGCTGGTGGGCATGCGTCTGATATCGGATGGGCCGGCCGATTGTGTTTGGGGTCGGGAAATATTGTCGGGGGAAGGATTAGCGGTTCAGCCCAGCAGATCTCGGGAGGGCCGACCGCTCATTTTCGACGCATCCAGGAGAATTGCATATAATCTTGGAGAGGAGATGGTTCGGCTCAGGAGAACAAGCATTTGATATCGGAAGGGTTGGCTAGTTGTTTTCGGCCCAGGAGCACAATCAAGTGATCTTGGAAGGGCCAGCTCGTCATATGTCAATATGTATACAATGTTGGAAGGACCGACTGTTGCACCCAGCTTATTATGAGTGTGATATCGGAAGGACTGAAGGTTTAGCACAGTTGGTTATTTCACCACGGGCGTACCCCAACCGATTACACAAACGGTTGGGCCCGGCTAGTCATGATTGGCCAAGGGAATATGAATTTGGTATCGGAAATGCTGACCCTGGAGCCACCTTGGTTTTTTCATGATTCACAAAATGTGTAATTTCGGAAGGACCAATTTACCATCATACTATCGACGACGATAAGCATCTGATTTCCACTTAAGTTATGTTTCACAAAAGTCAGTTTGATATCTTTAGGCTCGGAAGACTATGCCTCTGCGCTCCACATGGGTCAGCGATGATGAGATTTGTGACATCGGCAGGCGGAAGTGATATCGGAAGGGGATGGTTTGCTGCTTATCCCCGATTAGTCTTGGAAAGGTAGACAAATGGCCGAGAATTGGTCTTCAAGGATGTGGATTGAATGAATTTCACACCAGAAGGTGTCACAAATGGAACGAACAAATGTCTGTTTGGTCCCAGCAGACCGCGATTGTTCGACCAACCAACTTCACATGTTTGTGATCGGCAGTGAGAATTAGAGATTTTGAGATCAGTGCCTATCATTTGCGGAAGCGATATCTCGGGCGACCATGTAGTTATATATATTGACATGGTACGTGAGCGACTGGTGAAAGCGGAATATTGCGAAGGAAGGGCATGAATGCAACCCGGGACGTATTCCGTTGTCAGATCCGTATGCCGGGCGTGTGGCAAACATTATTCAGCAGTCAGTAACATGACGGATGTCAATCCTAATGCAAATATGCTATTTGAACCACTTCAGGCGCATCAAGTGACGCATATCCTAACCTGCCAGGCCAATATATTATAGGAAGCAACAGTGCAGTCCATATCCACAACATACATGGCCCCGGAACCGAACTACAGAGGACGGCGACTGGGAACAGCGTAATAAAGAAAACGGTAGCTAAAAGTCCAAGATATACATATATACATTGTGAACATGGTATTATTACATAAAGTTTTCCGGAAACTTGTTGGTTTTAGATGGACCGTAAATTATCTACCGGGCATCTGAGGCGTTGAGCCTTTGCTCCAGTGCGTCTAACCGCTGGTGGAGGATATTCTCCACCGAACGCACTCTTACCTCCAAGGCGTCCACCCTCTCATTGGTGGCCAGGAGATCCAATCTCCTGCCGAGGTCGTGGATGCTCTGCAAGATGTCTCTTGCAGTTGGCTCGGGATCGGCGCGGTTTTCTGGCGCAGGCTGATCGTCCTGTGCCGGCCGACGGCTTGTGCCAACGGTTGGGACTTTGCGCATGGGCGCACCGACCGGCGGACCCAGCTGTTGCTTCTTCTCTATGATTGGATTAGTCTCAGGTTCCTCGTCGGATTTAAAAGCAAACTCACCTTCAATTACGTCGAGCTCAACCCGAGGGGGTTGGGCAAGTGATCTCTTACCCGGGGTCTTGGAGATCGCAGCGGGACGTCTTCATGCGCGTTCCGGAGTTTCTGGCCGGCTTTGATGTTGCCGCGGCCGCCTTCGCTTGCATTCTCTGCCTGACGCCGACACCGTCGATGGCACAGGTGATCTTCATGTGATCGCAGTTTGCGCATGCGAGTCGAGTGTATCCGAACTTTTTGTCCGGAAGGACAACGCAGGGTATGTCCAATTTGGTGCACTTGTCGCACTGCCGAGGATGGTAACGGACGGAATGCTTGAAAATATGTTAGTCTTAAACTCCTGCTATGTACCGATAGACTTACCTTCCATGGTGTTGCGATCTGAGAATCCTGACCCCATTCGGCAGGCTATAAAAAGAATCAGTGCCAGAATGCTACACAGAGCGCGGGTAACGCACCCTTGTCTCTACTTCAAGGAAACTCTCGTCATCCGCCGCATCCGATAAATCCGGACCAGCCGCATCCGAATCCTTGTCTGATGCTGCATTGGACTTTGCGAAAATTGAGTCAATGATTCATAGGCAAATGCGATTGAACATACCTTTACATAAATAGTCCCGGTGCAAACTTTGTCCTCGTCGGCCGACAAGAACTTCTTCTTCCTCTTCTGTCTTGGCTTTGAGGATGGAGGGTGCGACTTGGGATCATCGACATCGGTATCCTCATCTTCGGCCTTTCTCTTCTTGGTGTTACCGACCTGCGGGGCCACCATTCCGGATTTCTTCTTGGTGCCGGCCACAAAGAGATTGAATTTGACAGGGAGGTGGGGAGGGCTTTGTATGCCCGCAGCCATCGGGTCTGGCGCCGGCGATACCAGCTTGTGTTCTGCTGCCGGTGCAGCAATCAGATTGTCGAGGGATTGGCTGGCTGGAAGAGCTGGCGGTGCAGATGTCGGTGAAACGGGAGCTGCTGAAGGGACAGTGGTCGCAGATGCAGATGCAGCATCTTGAGGATCCAAGTCGGCAGGAACCTCAACTAGAGAGGGACGGCGGTAGCCCAAGGTCTTCTCGAATCTTGGATGGGTCTTGATCCTTGGGTCGTCTTCTGCGACAGAGGTCCAATCGGGGACACTCTCAAAGGTGCCAGCCTTTGAGCACTGCCGGATAATGGCGGCACAGGAGAGTAGCAGGGGAGAGAATGATGTTGCAGTCCCCGCATACAGTTTCAAATCTTTGGCCTGTGTATCATGGTCAAGTTTGTAGAAACGATTCAAAGTCGGAGAAAAATGAAACTTACCACTCGCCGGGCGATTTCATCCGAGAGCCTGAAGGTCTCTGGATCGGCTTCCTTTAACTTCATGCAACGCTTCATGAGCGATTGCACATCGATCAGGGTGGTGTTCAGGGCGTCGTTTGCCGCTTCCTGAGGCGTCATGATAAAGTGTGAAATGAAGTAATGAACGGGATGGGATGTACGGAAGGTGGGAATTTCTGAATGGGACAATGTCGCACAGCGTCCGGGTTTTATATGAATCCGTCGGTTGTGGGCAGTCCGAAAACTGTGGAGAGTCACATATGTGGTCCGGGTGTAAGACTATTGTATAGATCAACCACAGCTACCATTGGCTGAACCCAGTGGATCTACACCGGCAAAGGCCGATCCACAACTGCTTCCGGAATACAATGTACGGCTGTCCGGATATTCAAAGCACGACTTACCACCATTCATGGGTGAGAAGTGGATTAAGGCTTGTTGCGGTGGATCCAGGATTAATAAAACCACCCTTGATTGCAACAACGGACTCTCATAGAATTTGATTGCTACCATTGCTAAGGAGCCGCGTGCACCGCAACGAGCCTTAATCCACTTCTCACCCATGAATGGTGCTAAGGAGCCGCGTGCACCGCAACAAGCCTTAATCCACTTCTCACCCATGAATGGTGGTAAGTCGTGCTTTGAATATCCGGACAGCCGTACATTGTATTCCGGAAGCAGTTGTGGATCGGCCTTTGCCGGTGTAGATCCACTGGGTTCAGCCAATGGTAGCTGTGGTTGATCTATACAATAGTCTTACACCCGGACCACATATGTGACTCTCCACAGTTTTCGGACTGCCCACAACCGACGGATTCATATAAAACCCGGACGCTGTGCGACATTGTCCCATTCAGAAATTCCCACCTTCCGTACATCCCATCCCGTTCATTACTTCATTTCACACTTTATCATGACGCCTCAGGAAGCGGCAAACGACGCCCTGAACACCACCCTGATCGATGTGCAATCGCTCATGAAGCGTTGCATGAAGTTAAAGGAAGCCGATCCAGAGACCTTCAGGCTCTCGGATGAAATCGCCCGGCGAGTGGTAAGTTTCATTTTTCTCCGACTTTGAATCGTTTCTACAAACTTGACCATGATACACAGGCCAAAGATTTGAAACTGTATGCGGGGACTGCAACATCATTCTCTCCCCTGCTACTCTCCTGTGCCGCCATTATCCGGCAGTGCTCAAAGGCTGGCACCTTTGAGAGTGTCCCCGATTGGACCTCTGTCGCAGAAGACGACCCAAGGATCAAGACCCATCCAAGATTCGAGAAGACCTTGGGCTACCGCCGTCCCTCTCTAGTTGAGGTTCCTGCCGACTTGGATCCTCAAGATGCTGCATCTGCATCTGCGACCACTGTCCCTTCAGCAGCTCCCGTTTCACCGACATCTGCACCGCCAGCTCTTCCAGCCAGCCAATCCCTCGACAATCTGATTGCTGCACCGGCAGCAGAACACAAGCTGGTATCGCCGGCGCCAGACCCGATGGCTGCGGGCATACAAAGCCCTCCCCACCTCCCTGTCAAATTCAATCTCTTTGTGGCCGGCACCAAGAAGAAATCCGGAATGGTGGCCCCGCAGGTCGGTAACACCAAGAAGAGAAAGGCCGAAGATGAGGATACCGATGTCGATGATCCCAAGTCGCACCCTCCATCCTCAAAGCCAAGACAGAAGAGGAAGAAGAAGTTCTTGTCGGCCGACGAGGACAAAGTTTGCACCGGGACTATTTATGTAAAGGTATGTTCAATCGCATTTGCCTATGAATCATTGACTCAATTTTCGCAAAGTCCAATGCAGCATCAGACAAGGATTCGGATGCGGCTGGTCCGGATTTATCGGATGCGGCGGATGACGAGAGTTTCCTTGAAGTAGAGACAAGGGTGCGTTACCCGCGCTCTGTGTAGCATTCTGGCACTGATTCTTTTTATAGCCTGCCGAATGGGGTCAGGATTCTCAGATCGCAACACCATGGAAGGTAAGTCTATCGGTACATAGCAGGAGTTTAAGACTAACATATTTTCAAGCATTCCGTCCGTTACCATCCTCGGCAGTGCGACAAGTGCACCAAATTGGACATACCCTGCGTTGTCCTTCCGGACAAAAAGTTCGGATACACTCGACTCGCATGCGCAAACTGCGATCACATGAAGATCACCTGTGCCATCGACGGTGTCGGCGTCAGGCAGAGAATGCAAGCGAAGGCGGCCGCGGCAACATCAAAGCCGGCCAGAAACTCCGGAACGCGCATGAAGACGTCCCGCGCGATCTCCAAGACCCCGGGTAAGAGATCACTTGCCCAACCCCCTCGGGTTGAGCTCGACGTAATTGAAGGTGAGTTTGCTTTTAAATCCGACGAGGAACCTGAGACTAATCCAATCATAGAGAAGAAGCAACAGCTGGGTCCGCCGGTCGGTGCGCCCATGCGCAAAGTCCCAACCGTTGGCACAAGCCGTCGGCCGGCACAGGACGATCAGCCTGCGCCAGAAAACCGCGCCGATCCCGAGCCAACTGCAAGAGACATCTTGCAGAGCATCCACGACCTCGGCAGGAGATTGGATCTCCTGGCCACCAATGAGAGGGTGGACGCCTTGGAGGTAAGAGTGCGTTCGGTGGAGAATATCCTCCACCAGCGGTTAGACGCACTGGAGCAAAGGCTCAACGCCTCAGATGCCCGGTAGATAATTTACGGTCCATCTAAAACCAACAAGTTTCCGGAAAACTTTATGTAATAATACCATGTTCACAATGTATATATGTATATCTTGGACTTTTAGCTACCGTTTTCTTTATTACGCTGTTCCCAGTCGCCGTCCTCTGTAGTTCGGTTCCGGGGCCATGTATGTTGTGGATATGGACTGCACTGTTGCTTCCTATAATATATTGGCCTGGCAGGTTAGGATATGCGTCACTTTATAAGTATCATATCAAGCTGTGATACATCCAATGGCATAATGCTCCGGTTTGGATGGTTCTTGCGGTTGTGGCAAAGGCGTGAATGCAAGGTTTATCACCAGTACAGCGGATGCTACATATATTGCGTATCCCTCCGACATGAATATCAATGTCAGATCCGGATCGCCATTGATATCATTACAGTGTTCGGCTGCATACCTAGAGGTACATACCCGGCCGCCCATCAGGTATACCATCATCCGGAACATCAATATCACAAGTCACTTGGATGTCGCCTTATATCGTATAGAGAATTGTATTGATTACAACAATCTCGTGTTTACAGGAGGGCCCGGCCGACCCATTCCGTGGGCGAAATTCGGCCATTGTGGGTGGGATCAACCACTTATATTCAACCACATTTGATATTGAGGGGAGCAGAAACTATGGTACAAGCTGACATAGTCAATCCAGGACTATACGTGATGAGAAACGAGCGCAGAAATGGTAGTGCCTTGTGTACACGAGTTTCTTCATAAATTAACCATTCAGCAATCAAATCGGTACAGTATTCGAGCCTTGCGCCACAGACTCCAAAATTTACCGATGACCCTACAGAATCACAGTAGAAATACAAGTACGATATGAGCTGCCTCTGATGCCGGAACGAATCAATATCTACTCGCCCGACATACCGGGTGGTGCGCTTGAGAATCGAGAGGAAAGAGATGAGGACAACAACGAAAGTGATGCACCCGGTATTTGAGCAGCGGATGTTGACCTCCCGGAATAGTGTGCTCTTCTTATATTACCACATTCTGTCAGTCCATGAGCTGGCCTCCCTATCTGAGAGAGAGCGATATCTTCATTTCCGCTACCAGCATTTCAGGAATGTCCATGGCAGATGTGACGCATTGTCTTGTTGTGATGCTATACGTCCACCAACATGCTCCCGATGCCGATGAACGGCAACATCGTTTATATGTTTCCGAACGCTCATGGACAAATTGCCCACAGTCGACGAGGTCGCTTTCCACTGCTCGGCCGATGTGCTTAACCGTTGCTCCAGCACAGTCAATCTGACATCAAGCCGTTCCTCCACCGAGTCTAACCTCTCGTCGATCGCGTCCACCCGCTCGTTCGTAGCAAGAAGATCAAAACGCTTGCCGAGATCGTGTATGCTATGCAATATGTCCCTTGCAGATGGCTCAGGCTCCGGTGGGTTTCCGGGTGCGGATGAGCTGACTTGTGTCTCCTGGATGCATGTCGATGAATTGGCAGTTGCCGGGGCCAACGCAGGCTCCAATTGCGGCACGTTGGGTTTCGCTGGCGGATCCGGATGTGTTTTCACGAGGTCCATCGGTCGTTCCGTGATTGTATCTAGAAAATTGTGATGCGTTGATCTTCGCCAGCCCAATGGATTCAATGCTTACCGTCCAACAAATGATGTACAACCTTCTTCTCAGCACGGGAGAATCTAGTTGTTGGTTGTGCTTTCTTGGACGGGACATGTTTGGCCTGTGATTTGGCAGCCTGCAACTTGTGGGCTCGAGTCTTAGTATGTTTGGCGGGAAGGTGTACAGCAGTGTCTGTTGACTTAGCCTTTGCCTGCAACCTCTCCCGGACACCGACACCATCGATTGCGCAAGTGATCTTCATCTCGTCGCAGTTCGCGCATGCGAGTCTTGTGAAGCCGTACTTCTTATCCGGGAGGACGATACAAGGTACATCTAATTTCACGCATTTGTCACACTTCCGGGGGTGGTGACGAACGGAATACTGCACCAAATTCATTACCGGTGATTGTCACCTAAATAATCAAGCACCTACCTCTGCCGCAGTGGCAATGGTGGAATCCCTACCCCATCCGGCAGGCTGGGAGCATAAACATCACAATTCAATCACCTGAGAGACGACAACCTACCCTGGTGTCTACATCCCAGAAACCCTTATCACCGACCACGTCGGAAGACATTGCATTTGACCCTGTTGCAACTGCACTAGCCGTCGATGATGACACGTGCTGCTGTGCGTGATGCTACGGTTAGAGCTAAAGAATTGTTAGGCGTCTTCATACCTTCCGTGCCACATATATAGTTCCATGGGGCTGGGCCTCCTCTTCCTCATCTGACATAAACTTCTTCTTCCTTTTTGGTTGCCGGGATAACGGACGCGGGGCAGGCCTATGTATGATATCCGTTTCGTCGGCGACATCATCTTCCACTTGCCTTTTTTTATCATTACGATGTTGTCTGTGAGTCTGCTCCCGTGTCTTTGGGTCCCAAGTCACAACAGACTGCTCCGGTGACTTCGCGGGCGCAATTGATATGGGCAGAGGAGTGAGAGGTTCTAAGGCCTTTGTGAAAGTTGGTGAGGGAGTCAGCACAGTCGTCTCCGGCGTCCTCGCTGGCGCCGTTGATGTGGGCACCGGAATGAGCTGTTCCATGGTCTTTGTTAAAGTTGGCGGGGGGGTCAAAACAGTCTTCTCCGGCGTCCTCGCGGGCGCCGTTGACATGGGCAGAGCCGTGATCGGTTCCGAGGCCTTCGTTAAAGTTAGCGGGGGAGAATGAGGTGCCGCAGCACCAACAGTTTCCAAGGAATTCGCATGTTGAGGTTTCTCCGTGCTGGGGAGAAGCTTTACAGGAGTCTGGATATCAGCCCTGGGACTGCCTTCCAGACCGTCAAGTGATGGAAATGATACGACAGCTTGTGGTACATCCGTCTGGGCGAGAGAGGCAAGTTCATGTTCCGTCTTTTCGGAACCGGTAGGAGCTCGATAATGTATAGTCTTCTGGAAACGTGGATGATCCTTGATGCGTGGGTCATTGTCGCCGACGGTTGTCCAGTCCGGCGACGATGTAAACATGCCACCTTTAGTGTACTGCCGTACGACCACTGCGCATGACAGCAGCTGTGGAGAGAACAATGTTGCGCTCCCTCCATAGAGTTTTAAATCTTTTGCCTGAAACAAATGATGTCCGCAATCCAAAATTAACTGGACAATCAATGGTAACCGGACGTACCAAGCGCCTCGCAATCTCATCCGACAATGCCAACGCCGTCGCTGAATCGCCTTCTTTTAACTTCATACATCGTTTGATGAGGGATTGAACATCTGTCAAAGTATCATTGAGGGCAGCGTTTGCTTCTTCGGAAGGTATCATAGGAGTATGTGAAAGATGTTGGTAAGTTAGGGTAATGCTATGCGGAAGGGAAAGAGGAATGACTCTGAGAAATTTTACGAATGTCGAGATCAATACCAATTTGTCGGTTGTGGGTGTTTCCGAGACCTCGTGGCGAACGTAGAACGGCAGCATGGACCGATATCATATAATAATCACGTAATAGAAGGATTTCACCGATCATTGTCCCACGTATTTGGTTTCCACAGTCGGTGGTCCACAAATCATTGAAGGTATATCTTGGCACCTCGTCGCCTTCTCGGATTCATTTTCACACAAACATTCATGTCTGAGAGACGCGTTCGTGTTGCCACTCCAGTCTCTTCGGAGGCTGGCGACTCACTCCCTCCAGATGCTGGTGACATATGGACTAGCATCATGTTCAGTTCTAATCCCACTCAAGATCATGGTGTTGTATCAAATGATGTTGTATCGAATGACTCCCCGGTGGAGCCACGCCCCGCATTGCCCGAGGACCCCATAGATTGGTGGGGCAAGTATGTCCCTTTAGAGTCGTGGGTTCCTCCAAAACCGGATAGCATTCCAAGATTCCAAGGAATCGTCGGATTGGAATCTTATCCGATATATAAATGCAAGTGCACCATTTAACCCCTATCAGCCGGTAATGATCAAAACATTTCTTTGGCAGTATATAAATTATGTTCCGAGTTACCCCATAGCTATGAATATCGGGTTGATTCTTTAGGAAAGAGAGAGAAAAGTAAGTCGTTACCTGGATACTGGCATCGCTGAATCAACCTTGTCCCGTAGATTACGAGCGATGTTTTAATGGCGACTTTGATGAAGTCACAAGCATGCTGTCAGGTGAGTGCCATATTAAAGCCGAACACCGTTGATCTCACACTTCGTAATAGACATGTATGTTGTAGAGTTGCTCCGCACACCCAACTTTTTGACAGCCCGGTGTTCCCCATCAATGGGGGTCGTTGGCGTGTCACCGGCCGTCCAAACATCGGCAGAAGGTGCTTTGCTTCATTTTCTTATAAAACAAAACTAACTCACCGGATTAGGCTGTACAAGACCGGAAGGTAAGCTACAGCCTGGCACTCGCCATGGAGCTGATTAATTTGAACCCAACAGAAGATCCGGTACAATTGACCGCAGGAACTCACTCCTTCGATCAAGATGTCGAATCAACGCTCCTGACGTATCATCCCTATGATTGTGGATGGGATGATACCGTTTCAAATGCTTCAGTTTCACCTGAAGTATCGTCGCCGATGGATCCATACGATTGCGGATGGGAGGATGACATGAATGTGACATCCCAGGAAACAATCATGCCGTTAGAGCAAAGTAAGTATATTATTTGCGTTCAGATATCATAACTGACCTGTTGGTAGTATTAACGGATGTAAGATCAAACAGAGGTAAGTACTCACCGGGTCCCAGGAAACACCGTCATTTCACAAAACATCATAGAACATCCGACCGAATTGTCCTACCGTCTTAGCGACAACATGTTATGTGCTATGGATGCTCTGATCATCAACGAGACGGTGCCCCCGAACGAGTCATCGACCGAAGATCCATATGACTGTGGATGGGGCGATATCGTGACTGCTGCGGCCGTCCAAGCAACGGATGAAAGTGCGTGGGTCATTTACAAAGCGATATCTGAGCTGACCGGGCGTGTGAAGATATCAAAGCTAATGCAGGTAAGTGACCGGTGTACTGCCAGGGATCGGTCTTACAGGACTCCATAGATATTGTGGCCGATTCATCATCTTCCAAGGGCGAGATGATCACATCTGCTGCACCGGCAAATGATCCTTACGATGTTGGATGGGATGATTCTATGGATGACAGCGACCCCGCAGACATAGCTTCTATGGCCGATCCGTACGATTGCGGATGGCAGGATGCCACAGCTCCGGAAGATGATATTATGCCGGGAGACCCTGCAGACGATCCATACGACTGTGGGTGGGAAGATCCGATGGAGGGACCAACTACCATGCGGCTATCGGTGGACAAGACGTTCTATATGGACACGGATGTCATTGACCTTACGTCTGAATCACCCAGCCGATCGGTGGACTGGATATTCGATGAGAGGGATGTCATTGACCTCACCTCTGAATCACCCAGCCGATCGATGGACCAGACATTCGATGAGGAGACGGATGTCTTAGACCTTACGTCCACATCAGTCAACCGATCGGTGGACCGGACATTTGGTAAGGAAACGAATGCCCTTGTGCTGACGTCTACATCAGCCAATTCAGGTATGTCATTTTCACTTTCTCTATATGTTCTAATTCTGGTGGTTGCAGAGAGATCCATGTCTCCAACCGAACCCAACGCATTCCAAGAGGCAGGAGAGTCCATGCGTCGCGCGATCCGACGGCTCAACAGCATAGGACATAGTGACTGTGAGTTTTTTGCATTTCCACTCTGATTCCGGCTGACTTTCGTGTCGGACAGTCGATAGATATGTTCGCAACATTGTCGCACCAGGGGATGGACTTGTATATGACTCACGACCAGGGCTCACTTTCATGGCCAACCGGCATTTGTTTGGTGCATATGCCGAGGCAAGAGATCGGGTAACTAACCTCGGGGCTGATGTCATAAACATACATTGTTTACTTAATATTCACCGCCGGATCATGTACCCGCTAGATGCGATGATAACCAGAGTGGAGCAGCAGGGGGATAGTATGCTATGACTATAGTTCCCTATGCAATCTAATTTGTATTACCTCCCATCATGAAAAATGTGTAGAATATACACGACATATGCCCGACCGATAGAATGACTTCAAAGATATATCACAAAGTCCATTTGTCGTGACCAGATTGTGGTCCGTCAGTGAAAGCTATCGGAAGAGACACCCGCGCCCCTCTCTCCCTCCTCCCAAAAAGAGACCCACATCAATCAAGGTTTTACATAATCATTGTACCGAGAGTTGGGCTTCCGGGCACGTTTACCCGCACCGGTTTGTGACATTTTGCTCCTGGTCCGTTTCGAGGGAGACCCATCGGTAGCCTGTTCAGTAACTTGTTTCTTCCCTGCCATTTTACCAGCCTGTCTCGCAATTCCCTTGTCCTGTTCCATTGCCGCTTGACGCCTCGTCCGTTTTGTGGGAGACCTTTCCAATGATTCTTCGGCAGTCCTTTTGTGAACTTGGGTTTTTGCTGGGATAACATCAGCAGTATTGACCACCTGTGCAGGCCGTTTGACCTGTACCCCGGGTGCACTGGCTGTGCGTTCTGCGGCTGTTGCAGAAGATTCAAGCCTGACGCCTTTCCTGCCACGCTTGCGGACAGCATTCTGCGGGCGTTCTACCGCTGTCCTCATCTTGTTGGGCCAGATATTTACTGTAGCGGGCGTGCTAGGAGATGCAGGAACATCCTTATTGGTTCTTTTGCTGGTGTCGACAAACTTTCCGGGTTGCTCATCATCGCTGCTTGTGTCGTTGCTGCTACTCATGGATACCCGGCGCCTGCTCTTCCCTGTAGACTTGGTCGCTTTGTGCTGACTCGGAATCTCATCCTCGGAGTCGTCCAATCCGTCAACAGACTCAGCAGTGGTGATCGGTTGGTCGTTGACTTCATCGGCAGATGACTCAGGTCCTCTACCCTTCCGTGAACGATGCGGCAAGCTAGCTCCCTTTCTTTGAGTTGTTTTGGAACTCTGCGTTTTCTTGGTAGTTGGACGCGATGCTGATATTTCTTTGGTAGACTGCTGTTCAGGTTGCTCCCGGATCCGGTTCCGGGACTGCGACCTCTGCTTGGGTTGTCGGGTTGTTGCTGTTGGCTTCCTCACTGGTACATCAATGTCGGCTGCCAGCACCATATCCTCCTTATCATTATCCCACCAACCAATGAATTCCAATACGTGCGCTTCGCCATCCTCTTGTCGGTTGTACCAGAATTGTAGCAGCTGAGTGGCATGAACCTGCTTTAGCTTCGATGGCTCTGCAAGACTGTGGCCTTCGGGAAGATATTCCGCAGGTATGATCTCGGTGTATCTGGGTATCACATACTTCCATGGAATGGCAATTTTTGGATCTCCACAACATTTCCCTACCAACATTCAGATAACCCTCAGAGCGGGAGAGACGTCGACCTACTATAATGCCATGTTAAAAATGCCCGGATCACCGCTTTCTTCGTATCTAGATCCACAGAATCGCATGCAGGGAGCACGGGATATCCGTCATCGCCCAGCTGAAGAATATAAGTCTTGTCCTGTCGACCCTTCTTCCTGGTGACAACAGCATCGCCGTCCAAGTTACCGTCTGTTTTGTGTCAGTGTGAATCTTCAGGCATCATATAAAGGTCGTTACCGAATGCGCTCTCGGCATAGGAATCCCATTCCGGCAAAATGGTATCCCAGTTATGAGTCTTCATGAAAGAGTCTGCACCGCCATATTCATTGTTATAGTCGTGACTGTCGGAAATGTGAGAGGAGACATGGCGAAAGGATCGGATCACTCACCCGGCAACATGGATCTTACCCTCCTCATTTTTCCAGGCAGATACAATGAAGACCCTCATTCCCGCACGGTTCCACATCTCGGTTGCGAAATGATGAATCATATCATCGCCTTTTTTCCTAGCAATGTCGGCCTTGACGTCGTCCGGAACACCTTGACGGTTCCATAATTCAGCCGTCTCTTTGGCTTCTTGGAGCTCATCCGGTGACAAGGATGCAATGAGCTGGTTAAGCTGCTTGGTGTAGTGGTTGATCATCTCTTTTGTACCAGGCTTGGCTCCAGTCTCGTCCTGAATTTTTTCTAACAGTTCCTTTTTCCGGAGCGTGTCTACCACACTTCGTTCAGTCCATTTCTGCCCTATCTTGATAGGAGGTTTCGATGGCTTCCTCTTTGTCCCTTGGCTTCGGAACCATGCCTCGTAGGCCTGTGTGATATTTTAGCTGGTTTTCTCGTGACTACGACGACGACGACGGTGATGATGATGATGATGATGATGATGATGATGATGATGATGATGATGATGATGATGATGATGATGATGATGATGATGATGATGATGATGATGATGAGAGGCTCACCACTTTCCGATCCTTCAGTAGTCATATAGACATCACTGGAGCCTTCGTCCAAGCCTCGGTTGCAGCTGCTTTGGAGACCCTCTTTCGTTCCGATGGCTCAGCTGAGTCCCATTGCTCAATGTAGGACTCTAGGATTGTAACCTCCTCCTGACTCAACGGAGGCTGCTTCCTGGTGTCAGATTCAGAGGCAGAGTCGTGGTCAGTCATTATGGACTTAAGAGGATAGCAATGGAATTTAGTGATAGTGTGTGTTTGCGTGGGATTGTCAGTGAATGTAAAATATGTGCAGTAAGTTATTTGCCCTCCTTTCATTTCGGCTAGTAAGCGAGGGGTATTGGCTATTATGTGTCTACAATGTATCATGCATCTTAATTCACACAACTTCATACCAAGTTCATGGGCAAATCAAGAGTGAGGGTGTTGGCTCCACGAAGACCAGTTCAGCTAGTCGAATGGAAAGTAAAAGACACTACTCGGGGCCGGAAAGGGAAATGGTGTCCGGTCAAACGACCCCAGCCAAGTCAGTCTGCCCAATCATCCCCAACAAAGTCTCCCGCCAAACAAACTTTGAATCTTACAAACCCTCAATTTACACCGGACTTCAATTCCCATCATGCAGACTGGAGTGGTCATGACCCCATTGGTCCGCTGAACGTCTGGCTAAGGAAAAGAAAGACGAAGGTGAGCAATGTGTTTGCCATCCTGCCAAAGCTGACCAGGCTCCCAGAGCCCAAACGATTATCTCCGTGAATGGATACCTCGGAAGGACGATTACCTTCGCCTCCTCTTAGAACGGGAGGCACCGCCCACAAACAAGTCTTGCTCATTATGCGGTGTAAATTCGGTGGTGTATCGGTGTCATGATTGCCTCAGTGGATCCTATAATTTGCGCCAAATGCTGTCGACATGAGCACAGGCGATTGCCATTTCACAAGATTAGCAAATGGAACGGGAGCTTTTTTGAAGAAACATCATTAACCAAGATAGAATTGGAAATTCATCTCGGGCATGATGGGCTGCCGTGTCCGGTTCTGGAAAATGCACATGAGTGGGAGGACATGGACGAGCCTGTGTATGAACCTTCCTATGATCGCTCAGCTATACCGGAGTTGCCTTTCCTTCACGGCAAGGAATGCACAACCGTGGTTGACAAATCCGGCGTCCATTCCCTGATAATCCGGTATTGTAAATGCCCAAATGCATGTACCCCGGACAAGCAGTTATTTGCGATAGGCATGTTTCCAGCATCTTTCAGTCAGCCGAAGTCAGCATTCACGTTTTCTGTACTGGACGGCTTTCTGCTCGATAACTTAGAATGCGGAACATCAGCTATGAATTACTACAGTAAATTGAGGAGAATGACATCTAGCATATTTCCCCACTCAGTCCCGGTATGTGCAAGGTGCTGCCTGGTCATCCATGTATGAATTAACATCAAAACAGGACCGCTACAGGGAATTGATGCGGGTGGGACGGCAATGGCGTCAACTAAAACTGCTGAAATGGAACGGCTTCGCTCACGACAGAAAACAACCGGAATCAGGTGAACTTGCTCTTTTTTGCCCAGCGTGCCCTCAACCCGGCATAAATGCGCCGCAGCCGGCCGAAAGACACAGCTGATGATCCGGAATGGATATATGCGAGATCTCTGGTCATGGATGGTAATTTCAAAGCAGAACATTTGCATCCTACTCGTCCGGAAGATGAAGTATGGTTGACCGATGGCCTGTGCTTCATGGTGACCCGAGACAAATACAAGGCCCATCTAGCCGGCGCCAACGAACATGTTCAAATGTCAGAGTGCAACAACCACCGGGCTGTGAATCAAGCAAATGCTTCCCGACACAAACTGGAAGCTACAGGAATTGGTGGTTGTGCATGCGCTCGACATGGCTGTTTTGTGCCTCATTCCATTGTTGATTTCCAGAAAGGGGAAAGGTACGGTAACCGATGTCACTGGCTGTATCCTCCTTGACGTCATTAATCAGACAAATGAATATGGACTACGCTCTTTGTCATGCTTTGAGCCATCACACCAATGGACTCACACGAGCCTTAACATTCTATGACATCAACTGCCAGTATAACAAGCATTTCCGGCGTAGGGTAAATGAAAGTCCATACATGAGCATCCCTGCCGGTATGGAGATCGTACCGGGAATAGGACTGTGGCATGTCCATGGCCATCAGGACAAGTGCTATGTGAGGTATGCATCAACCTTTATTACAGGAGCAGCCAGAATAGATGGGGAGATTATGGAGACGTTATGGGCACCATTAAATATTATATCTCCTTCTGCGAGAGGGATGTCAACCCCGCACCGACAAGAATGTCTCGACTACCAAATGAACGACTCTAATTTCATGAAAATGATAAGAATGAGTTAGGACTCCCATTCTTCGCTCAATGATTGATGCTCATGATCTCCAGGTGGTTTTCTATGTCGGAAATATCGAGAGGCTGTCAAGGGAGTTTCCAAAAGCACGGCAGCATTTCAAAAGCTTCATGATGCCGCCGATCCGACCATAGTTGAAAAATGGGAAGAGCAGGATCGACAAGCACAAATACGGAGACTGGCAGATCCTTCGGCGATGGATGTTTTTGACGTGCAGCTACAAAAGGGTGTGTCACGCCGACTGTGCTTCCGAACTAAATGACCAATCGGATGTGAATAGCACCGACGCGGAAACAACAAGAGCTGGCCTTGCTGGCTCGTGTTGGCCGTGGAGGTGGGAACGCGCAATGGGGTGCCGCCACATGGATCGCATCCGGGATCACAATCGAAGAGCTGCAGATATCTTTGTTGATGGACATCAGGAGGTTGGGAAAACATCCCACCGAAACGCAGCACTTGGAGATAGGGAGACGCCGGACAAAGTTGCAAAGCCGGATTGATGAATTTACGATTGCTGCAGTCAATCATCTCGGAGAGGACTTCGATCTGGATGATGACATCAGAGATATGGAGGTTGAATTCATTGATGATTCAGAGCAAGAAGTGGACGCTGTTACCGACAGTGAACATGATTCCCATGAAGATCCGCGATGCATGGTCTTCCGCCCCGAGAATGTCATGATACCTCTTCCATCCAACATCGGCATCCATAGATGCACGGAGTTAGGCGTAGGCCACCTAGTTGGTCAGGAAATTGCACTTCGGGAAGGGCAGGCTAACGACACCCTGCAAGCAATCAGAGTACTTCTAGCCGACAAGGCTGTGCTCTTCCGCACCACCGTCCGTCCGGCAAAATCTCAGGCCAAGGTCACCAGAGCATGGACGCAGGTTCATTCGGTGGAAAGGGTCATCAGACTGCAAACTATGATTTATTCAAAATGCCAGGCGCAACTTAGCAATCTACAAGCTCATGCTCTATTGGAAAAATATCTTCGGATGGAGAAGAGTCATTTGAAGGCAAGCGCTGCAGTCGCCGATCCGAACGCCCGGGGACAGAGAAACTCCACCCTTCCGTGGTTCTGGTCTCTTGATGTACAAGGTGATTCCATTAGCAACGATTGGATGAACGAATGTGAGTGACTGTCTGAAGATCATCATGACCGAACAATAACCGAACATAGTCTATAGGGTCCATTGGCTTCGGGCAAAGGCTTTGCGCGACCGATGGTCGGAAGAACAATTGCTCATCGAATATGAAATGTGTTGGACCTTACAGTTTTTCCTCCACAAGGCAGATATGTGGCTGTCACGTATCACTCGCAACGACGATCCACTGCCAGAAGGCCACAAATGTTACGCAATTCGGCAGGCCCACATGTACCACCAATTGGCCAAACATGCACGTACAAGCTTTCTCAAAGCAAATCCGATGTTCAAGGTCATTGTTTAATTGCCGAGAGTGTGGTTTATTTTGTGAATCAGAGTAACGGTTATAAATAGCTACATTATGTTTTTTGTTGCATTCATAGACATCCCGGAATATGAGCCACATTATCGGATTTGTGGTTTCAAGCTCCGACAACACATATAAACAATGTGTCCAGGACCGGTTTCATCGCAGTTCTCCTATTACCACTCACCATGACTGACCAAACTCGCTCACTCTACGAGTCTGTCGCCGGCTCATTCTCAGTCTGGGATGCAGCCCATATATTTGAATACGCCACCTCCAGATTCACCGCTATTCATCTCGCGCAGCTGGCGGAGCCAAACCCAACAGGTTCCTATCAGTACTCGTTTGTTCAACACCTCATCTGGGAGGCAGAGGTAATTCCATGTCAAATCATGAAACCACTCTACTGATATGGACTTACAGCGTTTCGTGATACCTTTCGTCAGCAAGTGCACGGCGATGAACATCAATAGCAGCATGCCGGTCTATCTCAGCAATGTCCTGCTCCACATAACAGATTTTCAAACGGAAGACCGAAACCATCGAACACTCTTTGCGAGATTCCGGGACTGTCCGCACAACAAGGATGGTGATGCGGTGGCTCAATATCGGGTTGTTCCGCGCTACCGCTACTGCTGGTGGGGAACCACATTTCATTTCACGCCTATGCAGATGCCTCTCCGGCTCTCAGTAGCTGAGGTGAACGAGCTCACAGCCGATCACTTCAAACAGCGGGTAAGTGATGTTCAGTCTTGTCCAAATTGTAATTGCATTGACACACCATTAGCCAGCCTTAGGTTTGCTCCTACCGGAACCGATTACTCATCCGCGACTGGATGATCCGCTCATTCAACAACTTCATGTTCTACGGACTGAAGTCGCCCGGCTAGGTCTAGACCTCGGACAAATGCTGGTTGCGAAACTCGAAGCCATGGGAGCGGCGGTTGATGCAATGAACCGTCTTGAACAGCCTCTCGACGAGGTTTATGACGCCATGGCTGCCTCTCAAGCGGCAGTGGACGTGTTGGCGGAAGATTATAACAATGGCCGGATCGGAACATCTACCCGTGGAGATCCATTTCCTGAATTGCATCCCTTTGTGCGCAAATGAATGCAGCCGCAATGTCCAATAGTTACGGAAGTAAATCGACATATTTAGCAGACGAGTCTGGTATATGTACATATTACATGAGTTATGTCCGGTAGATACCTGTGTTGTACAATTTGATGACAAATGGTGTTGCCGGACACTAGAGCGTTTTGATATTACGTGTATATCATTGCTGCCGCTAGGTTTGTTACATCATAAGCTAGGAGGCTGCTCGGCAAATATTCACTTAAGACGCAACCCTTGCTGACACACCATACCCTTTGTCTACATCATGATATCCCATGAGTATTGGGCGGCCTACCATGAGAAACTGGCTGCCCTTGATCTCGACACTCACCCAACATCATTCATTCCGCAGGATTGGGCCCTCAATGCTGTCGACATAGCTAGCGAATGGGTGGAGCAACAGTTCGCGGCTCATGTTGCTGGCAGACCCCTTGTTCCTGCTCCTCTGGAACTTGATCCGGAAACAATGCTGGCATGTGGACAACTTGCGTTTGTGCTTGCAGAGGCGTATCAGCATCCCAGTGAGTTCAGCGCTATATCGTTATATAATTATCCTGACATGTGAAGTCAAACTGGATATCGATATCATCCGGTACAATGAGGCATTGACCAAACGAGAGTCGGGACTGAATGATGCTCGTGAAGAAGCTTTGTTGGCAAAGTTCCCTCCCGCCGAGCGCATTCTGTTGGATCGCCCATCGGTTGTAATCGACGCTGGTTGCAGAATTATACTTTGGTATCTGCCGGGTGCACTGAACTGGTCCCTGCAGGTGAGCTTAGGCACGCAGAGATGTCCGATCACACTGACCGACAACAAAAAGCGTGATATGTTTACTGCCACAGTCGGTATGGGCAAGCTGTTACAACAAAGCATGACCACCAGCAAGACATCGACCGGAAAGACGACGAAATGGAGGACAAACACTTCGTACTTTCACCCATCAAAAGAACCCGGTCTGATACCCGGGTGTATCAATCTTTCGCCTTGCTGGTTTCAACAGGGGCACGAGGTGAGACCCAGCTTGCCCAAATCATTGAGTACTGAACACAGGCAGTGTCAAGGCCGGCCGCCGCAGAATCCGTTGGATGGGTTTATTCCGGAAGTCTCTGCCGCCTTGAAGGGCGATAGCGGCCTGTCATCAATTATAGATATGCAGCGTCCGGCTCTCTTGTCATCGGCTGCCCTTCAGGTCATGCACCCACAACTTTACCGGGCATCAATGTCCACTCACGTGGCGCTCGGGCAGTGGGCCGCAGTGCATGGTGAAGATCAGATGTACCGCTGTCTCCAGCATTGGGCGTCAGCATATTCCGGCGCTTCAATTGTTTGTAACAGGCAATCCCCCGGTCATCGTGATCCCAAATGTCCTCCGGAAGGATTTGACATTCTCACTTGCATAGGAAGCTATAAACATGCGGTGATGAATTTGACAAACTTAGGCATCGATTTGTTATACAATCCGGGAGTCATGGTAAGTTATTCTGGCCGGCTTGTGAGGCACGGTGTCCGGGTGGGAGATGGTGACAGAATTGTGTGGGCATGGTTTATGCGGGACAGTGTGCACAACTATGCCGGAACCCCACGTACAGAGTTCGCAAAATACAGCCTGGCCGACTTTGCCACATACCACCTCGCTAGATATAATCAGGCTGATTTTGTTCGATACCGATCATGATCATGTCGGTAGTTCTTACATTGCTTTCTTAGCCTCGGTTGGTTATCAATTCTTTAGTTACTACGTTGTTGCCGGGGCATGATCCATAGGCTGATGTTTGAGCGGCTATCTGATGTAGATACTGCATTGATTGTAATGTAGGTCGACTCACAATCATTGATCCGGGAGCTTAGTTCGATGGAACACGTTCATCCGACATGGCAATTGGCCACAGCCGGTCAATTGCGTTTATATAGGGGAATATATGCAACTGTTTGGCATCGGCCCAGCAATGAACATTACCCGGATACGTTGTCAGTGCGCTTATACAAGTTCTTCATTGGCCTGGTCACTCTCGGCAGTCGATATAATTACAATTACAATCTCTACTTGTACCGTCACCCGGCATGGCACGCCTATTCATGTAGCCCGGCCATCCCTTTCACAAATTGCAATCATGTTGTCCAGTTGGTCCATGATCCGACGCTGTACATTAAGGAAATGGTGAATGGTTGCAACGTCCTCACTTAGTTCTGTCACTTTGATCACTGCGTCCGCGTATGTCCCCAGAACATTTCGGTTTGCCGTCTGCGTCACTGCTGGCGTCTGGTCTCGGTCAACCTCGTCGGTTGGCAGTATGTTGTTCAGGTAAGAATTTGCTGCCCATTGTGTTAATCGTGAGCAATGCCACATAAGGGATACTCACCATCCTCATGCCAAATACTGCGTAGGCTTCTGATGGCATGTCGCATAGAATGTTCCGCATGTTGGAAGACATTGTGTTCATTTCCTGCATGCCTGCCGGGCATACCTGCACTGCTTCAAAAGTCATCATGCAGACGTGTAGAGTACGACTTACCTACTGCATCCCATCCGCAATCATACAAATCCTCGGCCACCGATGGGTTTACATCCCCACAGTGCTGTTCTGCCATCACCGCTGTGGATGGCTTGTCGGTATCCATCGGATCACCCCATCCGCAGTCGTATTGATCCTCCGCAGAGTCATCGGTGGATATGATGTGATGATCTTTTGGATCATCCCAGCCACAGTCATAGGCATCAGCGGGTGACTCACCGGATTCCATGATCAATTGATGATCCATCGGGTCATCCCATCCACAATCATACAGATCGTCCCTGGACTTACCCGGGAGTGTGATAATTTCATCATGCATTGGATCGTCCCATCCACAATCGTAGGCATCGGCCATCGATTCACTTGAACCGGCGATGCCTACATCATGGCTAGGATGGCCCCATTGGCTGGCATATGGATCCTTCGGCGACCCCTCCGAACTTGGATTATCCCATGCAAGGTCCTGCGGATCCCGGTCGTTTCTTCCGGTGATGTCGGCAGTGAATCCCGGTGGTGAGACCATGTGTACCGTAATGTCAGAGGTCCGCATGCTTTCCAGAAGATACATATCTTTAGACGTTTAGAAAAGCAAAGTCGATCGAAATAAATGGGAGGCTCACCGGACAGCATGCTTCTGATTTTGTCCCAGTGGCCATTGAAGCACAGCTCGTATGCTAAGTCACAACATCTGGTGAGTGAAATTCAGGAGTATGGACACCATCAGCTTACCTTGATCTCTTTTTGCGATGGGGTCATCTGTGTTTTCATAGCCGGCTGGAAATTCATTCTCCAAGTTATATTCTGTTGTTGCAAGTTTGTTAGTATACCGGCTCAGAATGGGGCATGCTTACTTTTAAAACGTGGATAGTCCGCCAATCCGACTACTCCTTTGAACTTTGATTTTCTCAGCTTAGGAGGAGTCCATGACTCTAATGGTACATATGCACCCCACCAGGCGATGGGATCTTTGTCCAGAGGAAGGCGTAGCGCTGCCGGACTGTCTCTGTCGACATTGCTCCCATATATGGAGAACATGGAGGGGGTACTGCCAATATATGGCTGTTCGGGAATAACAAACCGAACTTTTCTTGGTATCATCATGGTTTGGTTTGAAAAAGATTCGAGGAGGATAAACAAACAATCCGACGAGTGGCACCGTGTCGCAACTGTGGACCTTTGAACAATGGTGGACGCTGTCATGATCTTACGTCATCATATCCATGTTCTTCACATTGCACGACACTCGGGAAGAGCCACAAACTGACGTCTGGATATAAATCCCGACCCGTGTGCAAATTTTTCAAAGTCACCTTTCTGTCCCTTCCGTATACTATCTCACCCGTTACCCTACAACAAAGTTTTAACACTGGCGGCTGTGCAATTGTTGATGAAGCGGTGCATGATGTTGCGGCAAGGCGATCCAGAGGCATTAAAACTATCGGATGAGATCGCCAGACGGCTTGTGAGTGTAGTTTGTTGCTACAATGTTATTACTTTCATTAATATGAACGCCTTTGACAAAGGCAAATGACTTGAAGCGTCATGCAGGGATTGCAACTTCGTTGTCCCCGGAACTATTGTCATGTGCAGCCGTTGTGAGAGACTGCTCAAAGGGTGGCGTCTTTCAGACTTCGCCGGATTGGGGGTCTGTTACTGACAAGGATCCGAGAATTAAGGGTCACCCGCGGTTCAACAAGACAATCAATTACCGACCTATCGTCGGCATTGAGAGTCCTGATCTTCCTGACGCTCAGACTCCAACAGCAATAACAAGAATATCCTCCTCTTCCTCCTCCTCTGGAACTTCGGCACTGGTCTCATTGACAACACCACCCGTCGCGGCTGCATCTACTTCGGTCCCTCCTCCCGGTGACATAGACCGTTCGAGCATATCCGCCGCACCGGCAATAGAACTGTCGCCATTGTCACCGTCCCCATTCTCAAAGGCATTGGAACCTCTGACCCCCCTTCCTGTGTCAGCTCCAATCCCGCTGAAATACAACCTTTTTGTGCCAGGCATTAAGAATGCGGTGAATGCAATTCCAAAGGGCGGCAATGGTAAGAAGAGACGGGCGGAAGATGACCAACCGATAGAGGCTAAATTAGTTGACAACTCGACTTCCCGGTCACGGAAGTCTGTTCCGAAGAGGAAAAGGGTAATGTCGGCTGATGAAGACAATGAAACTACCAACCCAGTTCTGATGCAGGTGAGTTCCGCGTCTTTCGTTCGGCATAGCTGACCCACCACATGACTATATTCCCTAAGGTGGTACCATCACAGAGCATCACCGAAGAGGATTTGGCATCGGCACGTTCGCATCACTCGGAAGGCACAGATGATAGAGGTTTCTGGGATGCAGAAAGCAGGGTAAGTGTTTTTATTGGGCAAACTGCAGATGTTGACTCGGATGTTTATCAGCCTGTTGAATGGGGCCAGGACTCTGCTATCGCCACGGCAGTGAAGGTAACCTTATTATTATTTGCATGAAATCTCATTGACGCTAAGATGTTTGAAGTATTCCGTTCGTCATCACCCACAGAAATGCGACAAGTGCACCAAATTGGGTGTGGCCTGTCTTGTCCTCCCGGATAAGAAGTTCGGATGCATTCGACTTGCCTGCGCTAATTGCGATGATATGAAGATCACATGTGCGATCAACGGAGTCGGCGTCCGAGAAAGAATGCAGGCAAAGGCAAAGGCAAAGGCAAAGGCCACAGCGGCAGGTGACGCCCACCCTGTCAGACGATCTAAGTCACGTGCCCCCAAGTCCCGAGTTGTGAACAATACTCCGGTAAATACCCGGTCCCGGCAGATCTTGATACCGCCGGCGCTGTCCTCTTTGGATGTTGAGCCTAACAACATTGAACACGGAGGTGAATATTTTCATTCCACAGTTGGTACTTGAACTGAAACTTATCAAGACTCCGCACTGGATGCTAACCCAATGTCTATTGATATTCCACCGGTTCACACAGAGGTTCAACCGATGCCTACGATGCGCCCATCGGTGCAAGCCGAGGCGGAAACGCCGCGCAGCCCGAGCCAACTGCGAGGGATATCCTCCAGAGCATCCAGGACCTTGGAAGGCGGCTTGATCTTCTCGCCACCAGCGAAAGGGTCGATGAGTTGGATGCAAGACTCGGTTCGGTGGAAGATGTCTTTGGGCGGCGATTGAATGCACTTGAGCAACGTCTCAATTCATCTGATACAGAATGGAGAGCAATGTCAGCTTCTGTTGGCCATTTAACCATTGCTCTTCGGGATCATAAAGATGATCTTACTGCACATCGTTCCTGGATCAACACTACCGCTTATGCCCCCCCAAGTCATGCAAATGCACACCTGCCGGCCTGGCTCGCTCAGAGTGACGAAGACCCGCACATCTCAGCAATCGGCCGACAGTGGACTCATGCGTGGGATGCGTCCGTGATGACGGGTGTTCAAGGGCATGTCGGTACCTCAGCATCTGCTGTGCTCGTTACGGAAACCGTCGATTCCATGGTCCCGGCAGCGGATGTATCGCCAGACACCTCTAGCGATCTCTCAACGATATCCGATGATTAAATACTTATTATTGGATCTTGATGGACAGTGATGATGTCATGTCTTTACTTAGTTTTGATTGCATTCATTTGGTGCTCCTACATACCGACCATATTAAATGGGATCCTGTATTGGAAGGTGTGTGACGTTAATAGTTAGCCTGGGCCAGGAAGATCAATTTGAATATTGTGTTAGCGTTCCAGAACTAAGTCGTCTGAGTATCAAGGTGTGATATATCCAACGGCATAATGCTCTGGTTCGGATGGTTCTTGCGCTTGTGGCACACGCATGAATGCAAGGTTTGTCACTCCCGACTACGGCCCAGCGGATGCTATATGTACTGCGTATTCATCCGACATGAATATTCACGTCAGATCAGGATCTGATATTATTCGGTTGCATGCTGTGAGGCACATATCCATCTATTAGCTATACCAGCATCCGGAACATAAGTATCACAAGCCGCTGGCATGTCGCCCTATATTTAGAGAATGGTAATGATTATGACAATCTCGTGCTTATAGCAGGGCCCGGCAGACCCATGCCGTCAGCATGAATATGAACGTCAAATCCGGATCGGCATTGATATATCATTACAGAGTTCGGTTGCAAATATGTGGTGCTAGACGCCCGATATTACTCACAATCTTGTGTTATGTAGTGTAGAAGTTTGATGGGTAGACCTACTTGCACAGTATACACAGATGGAATAAAGAATGCTTTACCGGCAGGAGCCAAATGTTTGATTCTCGCTCCAGCGCCAGATGAATGCAATGTTAGAGCAATCATGTTGAACTGTTATAACCGTTACCACATTCGGATTCATTCATCCGGGGAGTGGTGGACAGATTATTACGTAACATTGCATCAAACAATTGTCGGACCTCTCATGGATACAAGACTGAGACCACAAATTTCCAATCCACAATCCACAATCCATCACTTTCCAGTAACACTCACAACCGGATCGATAAAATCCAGCCTTGTCGGAATCTCCCAAAATCAGCTTTTGATATCTACTGTATTCATTTCCCTCTGCACCACCGTATTTTGTTGACAAATCCATCATGTCCGTACCTCCGGAAGCAGCTAACGACGCATTGAAAGTCACACTGGCCGTCGTGCAATCGCTCATGAAGCGATGCATCAAGGTGAAGGAGGGCGATCCCGAGGCCTTGAAGCTATCGGATGAGATAGCCAGGCGCGTGGTGAGTGTATCTGATGTTCCCCTCAAAATGCTTTTTGTCAAACTAACATTTGTCATTTGATACAGGCAAGAGACTTGAAACTTTACGCGGGAACAGCAACATCATTCTCTCCTCTGCTACTCTCCTGTGCCGCCATTATCCGGCAGTACTCAAGGGGCGGCGCCTTTCAGAGTGTCCCAGACTGGACCTCTGTTACTGACGACGACCCATGAATCAAGGACCACCCGCGATTCCAGAAGACCGTCCACTATCACCCACCCTCTGCGCTTGATGTCCCCGTCATTGCAACATCGAGCATTCCCACAACCATTCCCGCAACCACTTCAGCTCTCATTGTCCCGCCATTCCCACCCTCAGCTCTCCCTTCCCTGCCATCCCGCACAGACCTGGATCTCGTCGCCAAGCCGGTGGCGGAACCGAGACGATCATCGCGCATACGAGCACGCAAGAATCCATCCCGCACGGACCTGGATATGGTCGCCAAGCCGGTAGCGGAACGAAAACGATCTTCCCGCCCACGAGTGCTCAAGAACCTGCCACCTCTCAGTCGTCCGGCACATCCACCCTTGAGATACCGCCACCTGTATGTGGCCAAAGCTGAGAGGGAACAATGGAAGGCACTTTTCGAGGCCGGCAATAGCAAGAAGAGAAAGGCGGATGATGAAGATACCGATGGGGCCGATGTAATTGAAGCCTCCAAGTTGGCTTCCGCGTCCCAAGAGCCGATGAAGAAGAAGAGGAAGTTGAACCAGAATGTCGACAATAGGCCAACAGGAATCATCGATGTGAAGCCAAAGGTATGTCTGTTGATCTTGGTTCATGCATCCAATGACTTACCGCTGCAGACATTACTGACCATCACCACTGACAAGGTTGTTCCACCAGGCGATGAAAAGGCTTTCTGGGACGCAGACACTCGGGTATGTGATCTGCACTTATCTATAGCGCTGGTATGCTGACCAATTTCAAAGCCTGCAGAATGGGGCTCAGATGCTCACATCGCCACTCCGTGCCAGGTAAGTCTGTCAGTACATTCACAGGAGTCCATGGCTAACATATGTCAAGCATTCCGTTCATTACCATCCTCGGCAGTGCGACAAGTGCACAAAATTGGACATACCCTGCATTGTCCTTCCGGACAAAAGTTCGGCTACATTCGACTCGCATGCGCAAATTGCGACCAGATGAAGATTACGTGTGCGATCGACGGCGTCGGTGTCAGGCAGAGAATGCAAGCGAAGGCCGCCACGGCTATAGTTGAAGGTGAGTTTGCTTTCAAATCCGGCGAGGATCTTGAAACCAATCCAGATGACTCTTAGAGGAGAAGCAACAGCCTGGTCCGCCGGCTGGTGTGCCCATGTGCAAACTCCCAACCGTTGGTACAAGCCCTCGGCCGGAACAGGATGATCAGCCCGCGCCAGCCAACATCGCCGATCCCGAGCCAACTGCAAGGGACATCCTACAGGGAATCCGGGACCTCAGCAAGAGACTGGATCTCTTTGCCACCAATGACCGTGTGGATGCCTTGGAGATAAGAGTGCGTTCGGTGGAAAATATCCTCCACCAGCGGTTGAACGCACTGGAGCAACACCTCAATGCCTCCGATGCCCGGTAGAGAGCGATGTCGCCACCTCCGGTATATGTAGAACAAACTAGTCTCCAATACCATATATAGTGTACTTTTAGCTATTCTTTCTTGCTGTTCCCGGTCACTTTCCCTTGTATTCCGGTTCTCGCTCTCTGTATTTGTTAGATGAGAATCACATTGTTGTTCCCCTCAATATGTTGTGATCTGTGGTGAGGGAATGCTTCAATTTCATGATGCTCACATGAAACTGTGACAGCCAATGGCATGATAATCCGGTGTACATAGTCCATGCGGTCGTGGGTGCATCACCGATGCTACATGCACGGTGCATCCCTCCAAGAGGTGTATCAATAAAGTACATATATGACTGTCTATTATCATACCATCTTCCGGAACCAGGCGTCTCCAGCTGATCGGCCGTCCGGTCATCACCTGCTTATCGGATTTGCATTGCTGTGCAACTTGTGCGGGTCCGACATCTTCATTTAGTCCTAATTTCAACTCTGTCCGAGACGCAGCCCTATAAACGTTCACCATGCCACCTTCGGAGACCGCATGCTATCCGTGTCACCGTAATATCGGTCGCCCCTTCCGAAATCAGATATGCAAGTACCGGGCACTCATGAGCCTTTCCGAGATTTAATGCTTCACTCTTTGGGCCGATTAGTAAGACACTCTATAGACTCAAACATCACTCGCCAGACATTCCTGACCTGTTGGGCATATCCTGTAGGCCCTTTCGGTACTCTGGACCAAATGCAAATTGAGTGGGCCCATCCGTCACTCATTCCGACAATCCGTAGATGCACTCTCGCCGGCCACTTGTGTAAGCCAGTTGAGGATAACCAGTATCCGTGACTACATGTGCACCGACAGCTGACAATCCCTAGCCGAGCCCTTCCCGAACTCACGAGATGAAACACCAATACCAGGCCGGAGAAAAATCCTACTGGGCCTATCAGGAAATTCCTGCACTTGCACATGTATGAAGAACATCCCGCTGGGCCCAACCGTCAGCCTTTCCGAGATCGTGTATGTCTCTCATGGGCCAGAAGCAATAACTCGCTTGCCCTCCGAGACCAAATGCACAGTCCATACCCCATATTCTTATTGATCGGCCCTTCCGAGACCAAATACATTCTCTTGGGCCACAAATTACCAGCAGTGCCCAACCATCTGTCCTTCTAAGATCATGTAGGCCTATCATGGGCCAGAAGCAATAACTCGCCAGCCCTTCCGAGGTCACATGTACCGTCCAATTCATTATTCTTGTTAGTTGGCCCTTCCAAGATCATTTGATGCCTATCTTGGGCCAGACACAATCACTCGCCGGCCCTTCCGAGGTCACATGTACTGTGCAAGCCGTACATTCTTATTGGTCAGCCCTTCCGAGACCAAACACATATTCTCTTGGGCCAAAATCACCAGCCGGGCCCAACCGTCAGCCCTTTCGATATCATGTAAGCCTACCATGGGTCAGAAACAATAACTCGCGAGACCAAACACATTTTCTTGGGCCAAAAATAACCAGCTGGGCCCAAGCTGGGCCCATCGGTAAGCCCATCCAAGACTACCCAGCATTTGTACTGGGCCGAACAATCACCAGCTGGGCCCAAGCTGGGCCCATCGGTAAGCCCATCCAAGACAACCCAGCATTTGTACTGGGCCGAACAATAACCAGCTGGGCCTTCCCGTACGCACTGCCGAGATCAATACATTTGGGCTGCACGAAAAATGGAACCATACATCGCATCTCCGGCCGGGATCATATGCATATCTGGTGGGCCTATCCACCATTCCTTCTGGAAGATCCTGTACGGCTGTCCGGGTATCCGACGCACCATTTATGGGTGAGAAGTGGATTGAGGCCTACTTTGCCTATGGAAATTTCGTCATAGCCCGGTTTACCCCTTTCCGGGTATCCGATGCACCATTTATGGGTGAGAAGTGGATTAAGGCCTCCTTTGCCTAGAAAATTTCGTCATAGACCATTTTTCCCATTTCCGGGTATCCTATGCACCATTTATGGGTGAGAAGTGGATTAAGGCTTGTTGCGGTGCATGCAAGATAAATAAACTACCTCTGATTGCGACAACACATGCACCGCAACAGGCCTTAATCCACTTCTCACCCATAAATGGTGTATCGGATACCCGGAAAGGGACGAAATTTCCCAGGCACAGTGTATTCTCACAGAAAATCAATTTCCCGGTCACGGGGTGTTGCTGCTTGGCTTTGTAAGTGCATTGTTGCTGCAGCAGTGAGCGCTCACTGCAGTCACCGCTCGAGACACTATCACTCTTGTTGTCAACGTCAGATGTCTGGACCGCTCCGCCTGAAACTCAACTGTATTGTCTTGGGCGATAATCCTCGCCGTATTTTCCCGGTCGATATTGAGCGGACGGAGATTGTCGGCGACCTCAAAGAGGTCATCAAAGACAAGAAAAGGCCGGAGTTTGACCATGTTGCCACTGACCGTCTTGAGTTATGGAAGGTGAGTGATCTGATGCCTAGGATCGGATGTTGATCATCTGATATTTTGGAAGGTCGACCTGCCTATCGACGAGATGATTGAGCACAATCTCAACAATCTTACACTTGACCCAACGAAATCCCTATCACCTGTGGATGAAATGGTAGAGATTTTTCCCGACGCTCCTCTGCGCAAGTATCTGCATATAATTATCCAATGCCCGCCTGCCGGTGAGTTGTCCTTCGATATTGCCACCCTTTCCTCACTGATGGTGGTCCGACTTAGTGTCTTCCGGACCGCTCCGCCTGAAACTCAACTGTATTGTCTTCGGCGATGATCCTCGCCATATTTTCCCAGTCGACGTTGAGCGGACGAAGACTGTCGGTGACCTCAAAAATGTTATCAAGGTCGCTAAGAAGCCAGAGTTTGACCATGTTGCCGCCGACCGTCTTGAGCTATGGAAGGTGAGTGATCTGATGCCTACGGTTGAATGTTAATAATCTGATATTTTGGAAGGTCAAGATCAATTTGAACGATATACAGTTACGGAACTCGATCATGGACGGAGGCGTCGAGCTGCGCCCGTTAACCGAGCTGTCCGATGTGTTTGCGGATGGAATAGAGCGCGGATGTATTCATATCGTCGTAAAACATCCTGCCGTTGCACGACACATTCCGGCTGTTGATAGGCGAATCGCTTATCTCAAGAAGGGCGCGGGTACTCCGTCGGCCGGTGCAAAACCATCCGCATTCTCTACGAAGCAGGACCAACAAGAGTACCTTTGCAATCGTCCTCGCAGAGCCGCGGACCCTGTTCCCATTACTCTTCTCGAGCCTATCTTCGCTGAGTTCGTGGATGATTGTCAAAAATATGAACCAACTGTCCATGATAACGACTTTGTTTTGCAACTTTCGGAAAAGATGGCCACCTTCTATCCCAATGAGCTCACGCGGATGAATACATTCCGGCAAGTGCTCCGGGACTACGGTATTATACTCAACGCTTCTATGGTTGGCTCGACCGGATGTACGATGGACGGACATCTTTTGTCTACCAACGGACAGTTTGTGCTGATGATAATTGAGGGGAAGAACGAGATCGGAAGTGGCGCTGCCGAACCATTTATGGAGGCGATGCTGTACTACCGCAAGTTTATGGAGGACTCGAAGATTGAGATGGCGAGGCTCCGGTCTTTCATTCCATGCATCCATATCATTGTCTTCGGTTAGTTCATTTCACCAGATTATTTGCTGAAGCTTTTTATTGATCACAAATAGGGGCATGCATCGGCTTTTCAGGCTCTGTTTTCACTGAAAAAGTCCAGTCCGATGTCCTGGTCCCTATCATTCCTTTGTTTTGGCATTCAACAGACCTCCACATGCAAGTGATGGCAGCTCGTACTTTCGGGGCTCTCAAAATTGCCGTCGAGAAACTTACAAAACTATACTCCCGTCCAATCCCATCCCTCGAACCCGAGGATCCGTATCTTAAATGTCCTTACCCTCGGAGTTATACAAATTCCACCGGTTTCATTCAGGAATTCCGGTATGATGAGACTCAAATCCTCAGGGATCGACTTATTTTCTTTGGGGAAACCGTCGGCGATGCAGCTGGGAGCAAGATATGCATCAAGTTTGTCAGGAACTATTCCCCTCAGGCTCACGAATTCTGTGCCAGCAAGGGGAACGCCCCCAAACTTATCGCCTACAATTCTTTACCCGGCGGCTGGAATCTGGTGATTATGGATGCCCTTGATATTGATAATGATTGCCTTCCGCAACGACCTGGCTCATATCGACTGCTCAGTGAGATAGGTGTTTTGGACCATCAGCCGCTGAAGGAGACCATCACCACTCTCATCCGGGAGTTACACAATCACAATGACGGCTACGTTCATGGCGACCTCCGAGATACCAATTTCGTTGTGCGGGACGACAAACACTTCATGCTGCTTGATTTCGATTGGGCCGGACCGATCCAGAAGACACATTATCCGATGTATGTCAATCGGAAGGATATTCGACAGCCTGACGGTGTGTGGGATGGGCAGAAGATTGTGGCGGAGCATGATTTGGATATGCTGAATTATCTATTTCATCCTGAGCAAGATGTTCGGGAGCCAGCTGCAAAGCGCCGCCGTATATTAAGTGAAGGGTCGCTGATGGTCATTTGAGTCATTTATCATTTGTTGCATTTGCTTAATACCAGTCTGTTTTTTCATTATAAAGCTCACATACAATGACTTTGGGAGAATGGCGACATAGATTAGTATCTGTTGTATTGTAGCTAGCCAATTCGATGATTGCCGATGACACACGCCTTCTCACAAGTCTCAGTGAGGATTCTACTGTACATAAATGGAATACATGGCCTCATCCTCAGCGGATACAGCGATAAAATGATCTCAGAGTGGACGGTACCTCAGAGCCGTACAGGATATTCTGGAAGCAATGGTAGATCGGCCTTTCCCGATGTAGATCCCAAGAGTTTAGCCTATGGTAGCCGTGGTGGTTCTCTACAATTGTCTTACACTCGGTTGACACATATGACTCTCCACAGTTGTCGGAATGCCCATAACCGACGGGTTGATATAGAACCCGGCTGCTGTCAGACATTTTCCCGTACAACGATCCCCCTTCCGTACATCCCGTGAATTGCAACATATCCTATCAGCAACGGACCCCGTTATGCCGCCAGCTCTTCCATCCGGCAAATCCCTCAACAATCCGATTGCTGCGAGGGCGACAGAACCAGAGCTTGTATCACCAGCACCAGACCCAGCGGCTGCGGGTGTGCGAACTCTGCCACACCTCCCCGTCACGCATTCAAGCGCAAGATCTATTTATGGCGAGACCCGGAACCACCCGCCGAACGGGTTCGCTTGGACTACCGGCGCATGTTTTGCCAATATAGATCCATTGCGATCTATTTTCTTCGGTTCCGATGACCTGTAGGTATTACAGCCCGTCCGTTGCCCAATATGCGTAAGATATCTGGTCCCATGGGTTTGGGCCGTCAGTCGGGCCCGGGTGCCACAGCCTACCGAGCATAAGACAGGATGCACCTGTCAGTCGGTCACGGATACAACGACGCGCCCATCATTGTTGGGGACATAGTTCTGGGGCCATCAGCCGGTCTCAGATATGAAGGCCCAACCGTCGTCGATGAGGACCTAGGTATCGGTTCCGTCTACATCTGGGACATCCGCCGGTACCGTGTACGATAGCCTGCCCACCGTTGGCTGAGATGGGGTTCAGTTCTAGGCCCATCCGCCGACATCTGCCTGTACCGCGCATGACAGGCTGTCATTCCCCGCGCATCATCGCGGACGGTACACGTATGGTGCATCCTTCCGACATGTATATCAACGTCGGATCCGGATCAGCATTCGTATCGAACTTTGTCCCGTATTTCATTACTCGTTTCTGTTGCACCAGTTGCATCTGTAAAACTAGTATCTGACACAAGTGCGCTGACTTGGCCATAATTCCCTAGCCGAGCCCTTCCGAGATCCAACGCTTGCACTGGGCTTATCCGGAAGCCGCTCCGAGATTATTTGCACATGTACTAGGCCGAAGAATATCCTGCTGGGCGCAACTGTTGGCCCTTCCGAAATCAGATGCCTATCATGGGCCAGACCACATAACTAGCTGGCCCTTCGAGAATACAATGCAGTCCCATGCCAAATATTCAACTTAGTCGGCCCTTCTGAGATCAAATGCATATTCTCTTGGGCCCATCCATAGGCCCATCCAAGACTACCCGGCATATGTACTGGGCCGAACAATAGATGGGACTATATGTTGCCCCTCCGGGCGGGATCATATGCATATCCGGTGGGCCGAAAAAACTTGCTGGGCCCATCCGTGACCCCTACCAAATCAGTACCACATCCATATACTAATGGCTCGCCCATCACTACCGGAAATTCCTTCATGGTAGGCCCGCCCGACCTCCCTGCATATTGGGGCCCACCCCGATCTGCGTGAATGTGCATGAGCTGGGCCAGTTCGGGCCTTCCGGATATTGGTGCACTGGGCCTAAACCTTACCAGCCGGACCGATCCGCATATTGAATGCGAGGACCAATTGGGCCCTTCCGGATGCTTGTGTACTGAGCCGATCCGCACCTGAATTTGTTATGTGCCCAGGTCTTGCATATTTGACCTATCTGCACACTGAATTGGTATCTACTGGGCCCAAAATAACCAGTTGGCCCATCCGCTAACCCTTCCCAGTATTGTGATGGGCCCAGGAATGACCAGTCGGCTCACTTGTGCCCTCTTCCGATACTGTCAATAACCAGCTGGGCTCATCCGTAAGCTATTCCGATACGAGCTGAGCCCATTCGCCAGCCATGCCTGATACTATTATGGGCTCAAAATTTTCCTGTTGGCTCTTCTGACATCAAATTTCCCCAAGAATAAGTAGCTAGGCCCATCCGTACCCCCCTTCCGAGATATATAACTGGGCCCATGTACCTTGTGGCCCATTACAATTGTCCCATTCATGCTATGGCATCCACACTTGGCCCACCCGCTAGCATGGGCGCTATTCCACACTGTGGGCCTATCCGTGCATAAGCACACATGGGCCCACGTTGGATGGCCCGCCTAACTGGGTCGATTCTCAACCTTTGGCTGTCCGACTAAGTCGAAAATAAAGTACTGAATTATGTGAGGCACGGAAGTTAGACGCGGGTCGGATCCAGGGCATAGATAGACGTCGGCCGGATCCGGATATCCGGAAATGATATGTGATAAGTCCGGGTCTGGAACACGGGATATGACAGTATCCCCCCCTTAGGGCCGAGCCCATGAGGCTTCTGATTCGGAAGTCCGGTCCGGAGTTTTATGAATGCGAGATGATGGGCGGAGCTCGTAAAAATAGCACGGAGGCATATAAGTAGGCCGGAACGCCCATGAAATGTTTAAAACTTTCCCCCTAACTCCTATTACTGCTTTTAACATGTCTAACTCCACTTCCGGCAACAAGAAGTCCGCCCGGCAACTCCTCGAAGAGAGACAGGCGGAAATGGCGGCCGAAATTGCGCGGCTCGAGGCGGACGCACGGAGAGAGGCGGAGGAAGAAGAGCGCAAGCGCAAGGAGGCGGAAGAGGAACGGAAACGCATGGAGGAACAGAAGCGGAAAGATCTGGAGGAAACTCGGAAGGCGTTAGCCGAACGCGAGCGGGAGTGCCTGATGAAGGCTAGGGCGGATAATGCGTCGGAGGTGAGTCGGATGATGGTTTTTATGTTTTCCGGAGGTTCATAGAGTCTTAGTCCTCCGGTCCGGCGGATCCGGAGGTCGCGTGCGAGATGTGTGTCACCAGGCGCAAAGTTTGCACCTGGGCTGTAGCGTCCAAGACGCCTAGGGTGAGTGTTTGTTTTATCCGGATCCGGATGATTGCTAATGATTTCTGGAAGATCCGGACGTGTGACCAATGCCGCGCGTCCAAGGAAAAGTGCGTAGGCGGAAATCCGCCTGTCAAGGCGCCGGCCGGCAAGGGTAAGAAACGCGCGTGTCCGGAGGGATCTCCAAGCCCCAAGGGCAAAGGCAAGCGGTGCCAGAGGAGTCCGGAGGACATTGACGACGACGTGGAGATAGTCTCCAGTCCCCGGACGGTCATCGGGGAGGAGCAGAATTGGACGGAGTACGACGACCAGGCCTGGGTCGCGGCCGCCAACAACATTGTGGCGGAGTTGGCCCGGACCAACGGACTTTTGGAGAGGGGTATCGGAGCAGCGGAGGGAAGTAGGGCTGCGATGGACCGGGTGAGTGAAAACATGGTCCGGTTCATGGAGGAGCAGAGGGAGTTTCAGAACCTCTTCTTGGAGGGTCTGAGGAGTGGGTTCCGGATGAATGTGGAGGATTCTCCGGAGGAGGAAATTACTGAGGGGGCGGAAAAGGAAACCGGCGGATCCAGCGGAGATATGGAGATGGACTCTTAGGTAGTCAGATCCGACGTCCGGATGTCGGACGCCTCCATAATGTAGATATATGCATGTCTTTCTTACTCAATGTTAGAAGTTGGTCCTGGCTTATCTGGATAGGCCGAGTGGAAATCCGATAGAAGTTCCAGCACATTTCCGAGTTCGGTTGCGAGTATCCAGGAAGTTTCTTCATCTGTTCCCTCGTATCTGGCCCAACGTACCAAGTATAGTAGTTGGCAATGACGTCTCCGGCGGTCGATCTTGGAGTCCAAAATCTCGGAGATTTCGTATTCCGGTTCTCCGTCGACTAAAACCGGAGGCGGAGGAGGTTGGATGCGATTGGGAATGGTGTTCGGAGTTGCGGGTTCTAACTGAGAGACATGGAATATGGGATGCACGGATCGCATAGCGTCCGGAAGGCGGATGGTGAAGGAGTGGGTGCTGGGACGAGCGATGATGTCGAATGGACCAAGATTCTTTTCTGAGAGCTTTTTTGATGGTCGGGTCGAGCGGAAATATTTTGCTTTAACGAAGACCTGTTCTCCGACTTTGAAGTCCGGAGCAGGTTTCCGTCTAGCGTCCGCGGGTCCTTGATATCGTGCTTGGGCAAGGGACATTTCTTCTCGGAGGAATTGGTGAAGTTCATCTAAATCTATAGCATAATCCCGGGCACGGGCGGATGAGAGATCACGCTCCGGATGTATGGAAATGTTCGGGTGATAACCCTTATTGGCGAAGAATGGAGAAACTCCAGTGGTAGCACTCGGAGCGTTGTTGTATGCAAACTCGGCCAAGGGTAACAGTTCCGACCAATTATCCTGCTGATAGTTGCAGTAGATCCGGAGGTATTGTTCTAGGGTTTGGTTCGCTCGCTCGGTTTGTCCGTCACCTTCCGGGTGATATCCGGAGGTGAAATGTAAGATCATGTCGAGTGCTTTTCCGAGTGACCGGAAGAAGTGAGATACAAATTCCGTTCCTCAATCGGAAGTGACATGGGACGGAACTCCGTGCTTGGAAAATACATGGAGTAGGAATAACCGGGCGAGGTCCGGAGAGGTGATAGTGTCGTAGGTCGGGATGAATATGGATTGCTTGGATAGTCGATCTATGACTACCAGGATGGTGGTGAAGCCGGAAGAGTCGGGAAGTTGTTCGATGAAGTCCATGGATATCGAATTCCATGGCTTCTCGGGGATGGGGAGTTGCTTTAACAATCTGTATGGTTTGTGTCGCGGAACTTTGGCTCGGGCGCAGGTAGTGCAGGACTTAACATAGTCCTTCACATATGCGCGGATTCCGGGCCAGGTATATTCCCGATGGATAACTTCCAGGGTCCGGTTTTGACCGAAGTGTCCGGATAGCGGGTGGTCGTGCGTATTCCGGAGCACTCGGAGCCGGAGGTCATTGGATTCTGGAACATATATACGGTTGTCGCAATGGAGGAAACCACTTTTGTCCACTGTCCATCTCGGGTCCGACAGACCTGGAAGATGAATGGAAGCGATCGGATCACTAGGGAGGGCAGACAGAATGTCCTTATGAAGCTGCTCGATATCCATTAGTACAGCCGCCCGGAGCACCAGAATTGCTAAGTATGATGCCCGGAGGGACGAAGCGAGCTGTTCTGTGGCAAATATCGGCCAGAGGTTGTGTGGATTAACTTGAGCGTAGTCCTTATCCCCCTCTTTGGGGTAGACATCCCAACGTCTAGTTAGGCAGTCGGGCTTGGCTCCGAGTTTTCTGGGTCGGAAACGGATGATGAGATTGAACTGATGGAGGTATTCCGACCAGCGAGCCTGGCAGCGGGTGAGGAGTTTTGTGGTAGTGAAGTACTCAAGGTTCTTGTGATCCGTGACAACGTCTATCGGCTCGGCTGAGCCTTCAAGGTAGTGTCGCCAGGACCGGAAAGCTTCGTAAATAGCTAGGAGTTCCTTATCATGGGTGTCATAGTTGAGTTCCGGAGCCGAAAGGGTCCGGGAATAAAATGCAACCGGGCGGAGCTCTTGGTCCGGACATACTATAGAAAGTATTCCGGCGATAGCATAGTCGGAAGCGTCTGTCTCAACGATGATAGGAACATCCGGCATCCAGTGCGTAAGCACCGGAGCGGTAGTGAAGGCTTTTTTGAGAGTATCGAAAGATTTCCGACAATCCTCGGAGAAATTCCAGGGAGCATTCTTGCGAGTGAGCCGCGTAAGCGGAACTACGATATCCGATGGAGAGGCTCCGCCTCGAGCCTTGGTGATGAACTGATGATGTGAACTCTGAACTCTACTCTACTGTGTGTGACTCTACTCTATGCTACTACAGACTCCGACACGGCTAAACCTGCGTGCTACTAACTAGGAAGTGCCCCTGTGACCTAGGCACCCTACTACAAATACCCCCCACAAAAATGTGACACTCCGGGGTCGCCGTCGATGAGGAAAGGAAAGTGGTCCGTGCCCGTAATGATACTCTTCTGCTCTCACACCTTTACACCCAGCTACTTGGCCTTCAACTTATCTTCATGCGCTATCCTCGTCTGCCTGCTCTCCCTTGTTTCTTTCTCGTTCTTTCTCCACTTCCTCCAATAGGGTGCCCGTGCGAGGTAAGAATAGTCTCAGGCGCCTCATGTGGTACCATCCTGCCATCAGGAAACCCTCCAGTGTTTCCAATGCATAAGAGTTCGCCCGTCGTGATGTTACTCGTCAAGGAGCTGACCAACGAGGTATGATTTTTCTTGAAGACTTGAAGTTTCCTTCTACGTCGCTTGCGTATACTTGGACGAGCTGGCCCGCGTTGAATGTGACGTGTCCTGCGTGTGAGGATAGGACTCGTTTATTGAACGCTGCTTTCCTTTTGAGGGAGTTTGCGACTCGGTTGGCTAAGGCGTCTAGACGCTGCTGTGCCACGTATGCGGAGTGGACATGGACATTGGACGGCGAAAGTTCGTTAGCGGCGATGGGTGTTGGCGTTCGAGGGGTGTCTACGACGAGTCCAAGGAGAAGTTCTCTGGGGGAGAATTGATAGGCTGGGAGTACTCGTCCATTGAGATGCTCGATCGCTTGGTCAAAATGATCAGACCAAGCTGTTGGGATTGTCTTTGGGTCTACGTCGACGTAGTCGTCTTCCCCCAAGTGGGGAGCACACATGTACTTTAGACGTGTTAGCAAAATCTTGTTGGTACCCTCTACTAATCCGTTTATCCAAGGCGCGTACGCTGCTGTGACATGGTGTTTGACGTTGTGCTCCTCGCACCAGCTGCTCACGTCCGAGTTGTCGAAGTGCTTTCCACCGTCAGTCATGAGTGTTTCGGGCAGTCAGAAATCGTGGCGGATCTTCTCAAGTCCCGTTAGCGTAGTTTTGGCGGTTCCGTGGATCTTGAGTTTAAATCCCCAGACGTATTGAGAGTAAGTGTCGATGATTAAGAGAATGTTGTGAAAGCCTCCCTTCGCCTTGGGCATGGCCAGATAATCTGCGACGAGTAGCTCAAACGGATGACGTCGAATGATAGGCTCAAGAAGGGAGTTAAGATGGGATGCGCCGAAGCTTTTGCATTGCCCGCACTCCACGATGGCATTTGCGACTGATCGGTCGAGGCGTGGGCTGTATATCCTATCCATCAACTGGAGTTTAACCAGATCCCTTCCCCAATGTCCTTTTGTCAGATGCTCCCTCCTTGCGAGCTCCCCTGCTTCCTCCTGCGTCATGCATTCCAGCTTCCCGTGGACTCGCGTGGATGAGTCGTTTGGGACCCTCCATAGTTTATCTTCTGCAACGAAAAAATGTTGGGCTCGATGACGAGCGCGACGCTTTTCTTTGACTGTCTTGTCCGAGTCTAAATCGTGAAGTGCGTCAATGACTTCTAAAAATAAAGGTTCATTAGCAAAACGTAGTCGTAGAGTTTCTAGTGCCGAAGACGATACTGGTGATGACGTGGTTCCCACTTCGAAGAGGTCTTGTACAATCCCTCGCGACTCTTCCCAATCCTCACTGACCGTCCAGTCGCTACCATCGCCCGGGCTACGTTCTCTTGTCATGAACCCGCGGCTTAGACCATCCGCAGCTGTATTCGAGACGCCAGGTCGATGCCGTACGTCTACGATATGGTATGCCAGAATCCCATCCCTCCAACGAGCATGCGCTACGGTGAGTTTAGGGCTAAGGAAGGTGTCGCGTAAGGCTTGACAATCCATTTCAATCTCTATCGGTGCTCCCCAGATGATATCTGAGAATTGATCTAAGGCGTATTTTAGTGCTGCAAATTCGAGGATAAACGGAATATACTTCTCTTCGGTTGGCGAGGTACGTTTCGACGCGAAGGCTATTGGATGAGTTGCTGTGACAACCATGCCTGACGGTAACGTGGTCGTGTGTTTCTGGGCTAGCACTGCGCCAAAACCATCCTGGGACCCATCTGTGGTGACAATGAAAGGTGAGCCGTCAAACCGGGGGCCTTTGAGCACCGGTTCAGATACTAGAGCTTGCTTCAGATCCATAAATGCTTCGGTGTGTCGAGGACCCCAATGCGGTCCTAATTGCGTGTGGTGAAGGTGTTGTCGGTACTTGTGTCTCCCGACATGCTGTCCCCCTGGAGGGGTACCTAACTTCCGAATCAGGTCCGTTAGAGGGGCTGCTCGTCGCGCATAATCTTTCACTAGTGATCTGAAATACCCTGTGAGGCCCAAGAATTGCATTAAGTCATGAACGGTGCCTGGTACTGCCCAGTCAACCACCGCAGAGATTTTAGCTAGGTCAGGCTTGATACCGTCGCGTCCTACTCTGGCTCCTGCGAATATAACCTCAGTCATGAATAGTTGCATTTTAGATGGCGATAAAGATAACCGCATGTCTCGTACTCGTTCAAAGAATGAACGCAGGCGAGACAGTTTTTCTTCAAAGACATCTCCCGCCATTCCCATGTCGTCGACGTATAGCTCGAAGAGCAATCCAATCAGATCTCGTAAGGCAATAGCTGCCATGTCTCCAAAGTTAGTTGGTGCGCCGGTGAGTCCAAACGGCATGCGACAATAGCAATCGTATCCTCGTCCTTCTGTAAAAAATGCTAAGTAAGGCTGGGACTCTGGGTCAACTGGTATCGCGTAGAAGCCTGCCGCGAAGTCTATGATACTTATCCATCTATGTCCACTCAGACGCTGTTGCTTAGTCCTGATGTCCCCCTGTGGGGCTGGTGGGATTTGGCTAGCGCGGTTGACCTCTGAGAAGTTTTGACATATGCGCCATTTTGGGGTGGAGTTCTTCCGGTTCTTGTTGTTGTTGTTCTCCGGAGGGCGCGGTGGTAGGTCATCTCTCGTTGGTAACCCGTGTTTGCTGCACTGATCATTGACACGGTGTAGTAGTTCTTCCAGAGGCAATCTGTCTGACCCATGAGCTTTCTGAGCCAAGACCGTGGGGCTTACTGCCTTGACGTCTTCAGGCTCGATTCGACGAATGATACCCGCCTTCTCCAATTCGTTAAGTCTCTCGTAGAGAAACTCACGCTGTGGAGGTGTCAACGGCCGCTGGTTTACTTTGGTCTTGAATGTGGCGCTCTCAGGAAAACGCAACTTGAACATTTTGAAGTCCACTGGATATACTTCACTGACGCTAAGAGCAAACGTGTCAGCGAATTCTTCGCAGAGAGTACTGACCTTCGATCATTGTTCTTCCGACAGGTCATCACCAATCTTTATCATACGCATGATTTCGGCCACTCGTTTCGGGTTGAACGGGTTGGCGTGACGAGAGTAGACATTGGTCTGAAACGAGGTGTTCAGGAATTCGGGCACTTCACCCAACGTTTCGTGTTCATGTTGGTCGAAGACAGGCCATATTGGTTTGTCGCTGGTCTCGATATTGACGTTTGCTGCTGTAAAAATAACTGGTGAGCATGGGGATGGTGAGGACTGTTCTGTTACCGGTGATACAAATGGCCTTTGGTTTGCTTGCACAACATGTGCTCCTGCTTTCGCGAGATATTCGATCCTTGCGTCCAGCTGATCTGTTGTGATGTGCGATCCGACTTCAAACACGTAATGTTCCGTGTGTGCTGTTGATTGTCTGCTGTTGTCCTGTATTGATAAGTCAGTAGCTAGGTCCGGGGGTAACGTGACGACTAAGAATAAAGGTGCTAGGGAGAGGTTACTTCTAGGGACGTCTTGATCGTTTGGACTTAATGGTTTCGAGGCGTTCGGTATTGGAGCTGCTGGTGTTCCATGGATATTGCGCACGGTTATAGCCGTAGGTTGATGTGGAATGGTTATGGTGTCTTGTGCATAGTCGTGCACAGCTCCCAACTGTTCGAGCAACGGTTTGCCGATTAGTATCCTCCACTCGCCTCCACTATCGAACACCTCGAAAGAGGTACAAATCTTGACTTTGTTCCATTGGAACGTTCCTCGCCATAGTCCATATGACGGTACTATCAGCCCGTTGGCCATGCAAAGGCTTCGGTTCGATCGTGTTAGTTTCTTCAAGTTATGTTCCGCTTCGCGGAACGTCTTCAGATCGATAACGTTTACCATGGCACCGTCATCGACGTTTGCTTGGAAGCATGACGTTTTCCCGCCTGGTCCGTATAGGATAACTTGGGTGGTGAAGGGCGCACTTTCCGTAACTTCTTCTGAGTCGTTGGACGTATTATACAAATTTACAATCTCTGGTTTAATCACACTTGGGTAACAGTCAGCAGTGTCTGTCATTTCAACAATAAATGTATCACTTAGCGAAAAATCAGTAACGAAATCTAAACTTGAGGCGGTATCTGACGTATCAAGTATTGTGGTGGTAGGTGTTGGGTTACTAAGCTCTCCAACGGATCCTAATTCAGTACTTGACGGTAAGGGGGGAACAGAGAAGGTAGAAGAAAAAGTAGAACTGGGGTCTAAAGAGTCCGATATAGACAATGAATCAGAGTTGGGAGTGATAGAAGCAGCGATCTGCGGCGAAACAACCTCAATTTCCAGAGTGGGTACCACAAACTCATCATCCGTCACTTGATCGTCTTCGACTGGAGCACTTAGCTCAACCGGCGAAGGTGGAGCTGGGGTGCTGACCAGAGACGATTCGAAGCTTGACAGCCAGGGAGATGCTGGTACCGTGGATGGCACGCTTATAGAACAGTTAGTCGTATCAGGGGATGGGGGCTCATTGTGGGGAATCTGGACTGGGTCGCTAACGACCATGGTCTCAGTGTCTTCTACTTGAAGGTTCTGGGTACGGGCCGCAGGGAGCTCCCCTACTGTTGCGGCCCGTACGCATTTCCAGACATGTCGAGCTGTTCGTATTGCCATTGTTGAGGTGTGTAGAACGAGGGATAGTACTGCTGCGTTGTTGTCTGGGCTGGTTGAGGCGTCATGGGAGTTATGTACTGGATGCTGGACGGTGTGGATGGTGTTTGTGGTGGAGCTAACGACCTGGTTACTAGTCTGGATACCATCTCCCTCCAGCATCCTTCCTGCATGGGGATTGGCGTGTTTTGGCACTCATGCGCCTGGTGGCTGGGCGTCGTTGCCAACCCACAATTGAAACACTCGCGAGAACCAAGAGGTGACGTGCCTGGTTTCAGCGGGTAAGGTCTCATCATGTTGGGTGCAGCCTCCAGTGCCGTGTTGAGTGCTCCAGTCTTGGACTTGCTGGGCGTAAGCTTGCCTCCCTGCTTCAGAGTCTGGGTGGTGTGGTAGGACTGCGTATTGTGCAGCCGTTCGTACGCGATCTGTACTTGAGGGTCCTCTTCCTCTTGATGGGGTTTGTGGGTATCCACTTCGATAGCCGTAGAAAAGGTTCGTTCTGGGGACTGGCGTTGCCGCGTTGAACGGGTTCTGAGGAGTTTGGGGAGTGATCATGGCAGGAGGCAGTTGGGGTGGTTGTGGATTGGGTAGAGCTGGAGGTGCAGTTTGATACGGTGGTGCTGGCTGTGATGTGACATTTGTGTTAGGAGCGTACCGAGGTCCATAGCGATAGACAGGTGGTAACGGAAATGAAGATTGTGCGTTCTGAGGCGAAGGAGCTGGGGCTTTGCGACTGTTGGACGTTTGAGTCTGCAACTTGTCAACATCCTCCCGCAGTTTTCGATCGTTCACGACACGCTGTTTTGCTCGTATAAGCTGGGACACCAAGGTTTTGGCCACGTCAGCTTCGAAATCTGCCCACATCGCGTAGTGGTCTGCTAAAAAATCCCGTAAGACTTCCGGGGTGTTCTCTAGGACAACGTCCAAAAAGTGACACTGGGTGTCTCCGAACCCTAGTGCCATCTGCGCGACCTGCTTAGCCCACTTAACATGACCCCAATCCCGTCCTCTGTCCTTTTCTATCATAACTCCAATCTCTTCTTCTTTCAATACCACTGACTTGAGTCGTTCTTTCTTCTGCGCGACCGTTAGTTTCGCATGCGCTGGAGGAGGCCATCGAACTTTGAATGCTGCCAGGAAGTTTGTCCACGTTGTCTTGTCCGTCGATGGTAAGTTCGCGAACCATTCTTCTGCCGGACTGGCTGCCGCGCATTGTAATTTGAAGCAACTGATCTTCTCTACGTCTGAATATGAAGGTGGTAACGACAGTTGGTACTTCCTTATCCAGTTGGTAGGCTCTTCCTCCTTTTCATAGTCGCCGTAGAAGCTCGGCTGTGGGACTACTGCTGGGATGGTTGTCATGTTGGAAGGTGCGGGTGGGATCGGAATGGTTTGTTGCAACTGTGAGGGAAGTGAACGTGTTTTTCCTAAGTCGGCTCGATGTTGTATGAAGCTGAAGGTTAGCCTGTAATGCTTGCGGTTTTGGTTTCCTGGGTGATGAAATAGCGATGTCGCAAAGAAAACGGGGTATTACAGAGGGTGGGGATAACTGTACTTCTGAAACAACGCGCCTATGCGCTGGTGGATTGTTAGCCTTCTGAATGTTCCTTAGACGGCAGAGGTCGTCAATCGTGATAGCCGTGGTGGAAGGACACTCTAGTCACCAGGTGGAGAGGCTCCGCCTCGAGCCTTGGTGATGAACTGATGATGTGAACTCTGAACTCTACTCTACTGTGTGTGACTCTACTCTATGCTACTACAGACTCCGACACGGCTAAACCCGCGTGCTACTAACTAGGAAGTGCCCCTGTGACCTAGGCACCCTACTACACCGAGTAGTTAAAGATGAAGCGATGATAGAAATTAGTGAATCCGAGGAACGATTGAATATCTTTAACTTTCCGGGGTTCCGGCCAGTCACAGATAGTCTGGACTTTGTCCGAAGACATGGTAAGACCGGCCGGAGAAAGGAGGTAACCGAGTCGGAATGGAATTCGCATTTCTCCGGTTTAGCATATAGCCGATGCTTCCGGAGGCGTCGGAGGACTTCAAGGACGTGTTGTTTATGAGATGCAAGGTCGGCGGAATAGATGAGGATGTCGTCGAGGTACACAATAACGCATATATCAAGCATATCGGCGAAGATAGTGTTGACAAAGCGCTGAAAAGCCGCCGGAGCATTGGTGAGACCCTCGGGCATAACCAACCATTCATACGAGCCATAGCGCGTCCGGAAAGCAGTTTTCCACTTGTCTCCTTCCGCCATCTGGACTAGATGGTAAGCGGACCGGAGGTCGATTTTAGTGTAAACTTTAGCGCGGCTCGGAGAATCGAGAAGGTCGGAAATGAGGGGAAGCGGATAGCGGTCTTTCTTTGTGATTTTATTGAGTCCTCAGAAATCTACACAGAGACGTAGGAAGCCGTCCTTTTTCTTGACAAACAGGACAGGGGCTCCGTGCGGAGAGGATGAGGAACGGAGGAGTCCAGTCGCAATATTCTCATCTAGGAATTTGCGAAGAGCTACAAGCTCAACCGGGGAAAGGGAATAGATGGTGCCAAGGGGCGGAGCCGCTCCTTCTTCCAAATCGATCTTTAGATCATAGGGACGATGGGGAGGGAGCTGTCCGGCTTTGCTTCTATCAAAGACATCCGCGTACTCGTGATATTCCGAAGGGATTCTGGATAGGTTCGGAGGTTCGGAGGAGAGTGTAGCGGAGCGGAGATTGACACTGGACGGACGAACGAAAATACTGAACTGGACCGATCCCTCTAATTTACAGGCCCGGCAAAAGGCAACTGCATTGATAAGAGAAATATTGGGAACGGTTGTATCAGCGGAGGAACTCGGCGGGGTTACGGAAGGGATTTCCGCCGGAGCCGGCGTAAAAGGGGTCGGAGGAGGTGAAGGCACTCCATGAGGAATCGGACGGAAATCGATGCTGCCCTTTACCCAGTCAATCAACGGATTGTGTCGGGTGAGCCAGCTATATCCTAGAACGATGGAACAGGATGAGTCCAACGGAGTAACATAAAATGTTTCGGAGGTGACCACGCCGGTCGGAAAACGGATCGGCAAATCTACTGCCTCGGTAATTGTGGCATTAGAAGTGCCGTCAAACAAATGGAGCGGAAGCGGAGGAATTGCATAGGTCGGAATGTTATTTTTTCGGATTAGCTTGCTTTCTATAAAACAATGGGAGGAACCACAATCTACTAGAGCCGGGAACGGAGAGATATCAGGAAAAGTAGAAATAGAAACGGACGGTAATAAAGAGTTCGGATTGGAGAAGGATATAGCGTTGAGGCGTAGCTCCATTGCACGGGTTGAGTCAGCGCAACCCTCGTCCCGTGCGGAGTCAAGAGGGTTGCGGACTAATTTTTTGTCTCTTCCGAGACCTCCGGTTTGGCATCCGGAGTTACCGTGCTGGCACAACCTTTGGCCGCACGGGAAGTGGATTTTAGGCAGTCCCGGGCAGTATGACCGGGTCCGCCGCAGAAGAGGCAGAGCTTCTTTTCCATGCGCCTCTGGCGCTCCTCGGACATTAGCTTACCGTCTTTTCCGAGCTTGGACGTCAAGTCCGGAAGTTTGGTGGAGGAGGGAGCCGAAGCGGTTCCGGATTTTCCGCCGGAGTACTCTTTCCGGTCGGAAGTAGAAGCTGACTGCTTAGTGGGAGGGGTGGATGTTGAGGGTTTGGTTTCACGGGAGACTTCTCCCTTGCGTTCCCAGTATCGAGCGTCAATAGTCTGGGCAAGAGTTTTGTATTCCGGAAGGGTGGTAGGTTTCCCTTGACGACTGATCTCGTCCTTGATGCGAGCCGGAAGTCCGTTATAGAACTGACGGCGCAAAGCTCCGTCGCCCCAACCTTGGACTTGGGAGGCTAGCCGCTGGAACTCTACAACATACTTGTTGATGCGCTGTCCGTCGCGCATATAGAGCTGTTTCAGCTGCATTTCCGCATCTCCGACCGGGTCATGAGGTCCGAAGTTAGTTTGAAGTTCTAACATGAACTCAGGGTAGTCATCCATCCAATCCGGACGATCCGCCAGATCATCCGAAAGGAGGTCCGGCTCAAACCATTCAAGGGCCATGCCCTTCAGGTATGATGGCGCGAAGTTGACTTTAGTCCGGCTGGTACGGAAAGATTTTGGCTTAGCTTGAAAGTTAAGCTCACATTGGACAAAGAACGCCCGGAGCTTCCGGGGCTCAGTGCCATCGAAGGTATCCAGTTCTCGGACTTTGACTTTAGAGTCACCAGATCCGGAGGATTGGCGGTTATTACGCACCAGGTTATTGATAGCTTGGGATAGCCGGAGGAAGACTAAGTCCTGCGGACCTAGACCTTCGTTTTCATCGTCTTCCGGGTCTTCCGGATCATCATCCGGATCACCCCCACCATCTCTGGGCGGGTTACCACCCAGAGGATATTCATCGTCGGAATCGTTGTGCGGAAGATTTTTGGCGGGTGTAGGTGTAGGGGTAGTCGGATATGGACGGTTCATAAGTTGTGAAATACTGGAGGCAGCGCCTTGCGCACTAGCGCGGCGCTGAGAGAAACTGAGGAAGGCATCGACTATGGGAGTAGAGTCCCTTCGGGCGGTTACTAAACCCGCCGCATTGAGAACAGTCTGCGCCCGTGTAGGTGCCATAATGAAGTAAGTATACTTGGTAAGGTGTGAGTTCGAATATACTGTTAAGAACATGCTCAAGGGTCAAATCCGAAGGGCTTGGCTTCAGCTCGTGCGCTGCGCCCCTTACCCGAGTATGTGCCCCTAACTTCCGAAGATTGTCGAACAATGTCCAAAGGTTACCGGACGATGTCCGGAGGGCGTCGGGCGATGTCCGGAGTCCAATGTCCGATGTGCGGGAATTCCAACGGATGTTCGGGAACAAGAGATAAGACTAATCCGTACAAAGTCCGAACTAGAAAGGAAACAGCGGAGGACTACCAAAGGTAGAGGCAGAGGTGATAAGTCAATAGGAATCAATCCTAAGACGAGCGGAGGTCGACGAGAGGATAACTCAAGTCGGACGGAGGAAGGAATGAGCAGAGTCTAAGATAATATTCGAACTAAAGATGTACATAGATTCTACAGGGTTTATATACTACTAAGATGCGAAGTCCAAAGCTATACAAAGCGGTGGACGGAGCGTATAGAAAAGTCAAACGCTAGTCTATCGGAAAATAGTTAAATGAACCCGGAGATTAGATCAGAGGAAAATAAAGGGCGGAAATGAAACGAGGTACGGAAAATGATTTAGTCTAACCAGAGTAGGAACATACAAAGGGATAAGGCACGGAAGTTAGACGCGGGTCGGATCCGGGCATAGATAGACGTCGGCCGGATCCGGATATCCGGAAATGATATGTGATAAGTCCGGGTCCGGAACGCGGGATATGACACTCGTGGACCTAGCCCTCATCCTCCTTGAACGTTTACTGCTGGTAATACCGCTATCCATCTAAATTATAGTCCAACTCGCACTGGAATGAAAATTGACGATGTCGCAGACGAGTTCAACATACCGGATCTTCGTGATGCTATTTCAAACTTCTTGCGACTTGACGCGAGGAACAGAGATGTGATTCATGGGGTTGGAATCTCAAGAAGATCGTTAATCGACCGTCCTTCTACTCTGCCTTTTGATCGCGTGCAAGTTTGGCACACAGTTCGCTTGCGGGAAGTTTCCTTCCATGATCCATGTGTCATCTTACCAGCGCAAACCTTGCATGCCTCTCCACCATGTCCCGGGTGGCCGAAAGGCCAACGAGACACCGTCCTTATCAATGTCGATAGAGAGTATGAGTGGCCCCAGTCAGGGTTAAGGGGTGAGTCCTTTTCCATTCTTATCAATCTGGCTGAAATGTGACTCCTTGGAAGGGCACGCCATCTGTGAAGTCCAGCTTATCATCCGCCCAATGGCCCGACGAGGTTCTCATATCACTTGGTGAGATCAGTATCTATGCTATGTGCATAACCTGAAGGTTGGCGCAGTCCATCCTACCGCTGGGATGCATGTATTGAAGCGTGCTAAGCATGGGGATGGCACTCCAGTAGGTAACATAGTTCCTCTCAAGCAAATGTGTACCTTTATCAGCATAATACCTGAGCTGGGAGCTGCAGCGGACGCGCGGTTGACAAAGGAGACTTCTGCACATTATTCCTCGTCCTTTTTCTTGAACAAGTACTTCAACAAGCAGCTTTATTATGCACTTTACCATGCTTCACAACGGATAGATACATAGAATAGTGCTCAGAGATGTTTTCTGATAATTTTGATCCATATGTTTTGATCCATTATCATAACAGATAAGGAGTGTGCGCGGAGTCGCGGACACTGCCCAATTGGTAGTTGCATGCCT